AGGTGTGCTTACATGGCTGGATGCTCATCTAGCGAGCAAAGGCCGTCAAATCGTTTTTATTGCTGCAACCTAACCAAAATCTTACACACAGAGTGAGGCATGGCGATCTCGATCTCGCAAAAACGAGAAGCAGGACGTTTATTATTGAGTGCAGAACATCAAAAGCAGCCAGGGCAGCGACGGTGGCTCGCAATAAAACCTACGTCAAGTACTCACCATCACACCGTGACACCAGGAGTCACTTGTACCACGCTGAAGTCCGGCGCCAGCTGGATGTCGACATTGTCGTCCGCTATCGCTTAGCACACAGCCACATCACGGATAAGACTTAGGGAGATTGAGTCTTTAATGGATAGGGCTCCTGTGTAGCCTCTAATTGATGTAAACGAACTGTCTTTGCCTCCACACCTATGAGAAGGGCGCAGAAGGCCTCTTCGTTGCAGATTGCTGGATAGAAGCACTGTTGAAAGGCACGCATTCAAGTGAATGTTATAGTATAGTGGTACACGTATCATTTGGACGTCACGTTTGCGTCGAGCAACTGTGGGAGTTTTATTTAGTAATTGCAGACGAAATTTGCTAGAAGCCAGAAAAAGATAATGAAATCAATAACACCCTCTTTTTAGCATCTAATTGTGTGTAATCTGTCTTTACCTAAAAGTCAATACTATGTGTTTTACTTAGATCAGGTTATGAGTCATACGAATGGGGAGCACAGGGGTGACGCGCGCGACGGTGCGCATGCGGAAGCAGCCCCTGCTACTGGTCACGAAAGGGCTAGAGAGCATGGAGATTACAAAAGAAGAGCAAGCCGTGCATTGTTCGTGCTGTGTACAATGCCACCACCAGGAGTGACGACGTGTCAGATTTCCTGTTTTTGAATAGAGGAACACCTGGACGTCTAGACAGGCTCGAGGAGTCGATGAATGCTGAAGACAGGCGTGAGAGACATAGGGACACGCCTATGACTCCGCATAGACATCCAAGTTTGTTTGTTTTGGATTTGAAGAGAGGAACACAAATGCAAATGGACAACTTTAAAGGGGATTATCGATGTGCCAGTACTTAATCCGATGAGGCCGGTTAAAGGACAGATGTCGTTTGGCGATAGACAGCCCGAATATAATGGCACCAGCCACGATGTTCACAATCAAGTTGCTTCAGGACTCGAATGTCCTGGTATGTTGCACTTCAGTGTAGAAAAAACAGGCACGTGCAGCAGCAGGAACCAAATTAATACGATTATGTTTAAGTCTGTGTACTTCAAGTGCGATATCCTGATGCGAGACAAAAGAAGCTCGGAATTCAGGCGTTTAATGGACACAAATTGTACGAAGGACTTGGTTCAGAATTGTTCGAGTGAGGTCAGGGATTTGGAAGACATTTTTTTTCAGCGCAGTCGACATGTGGTTTTGAATGGCCGGACGATGTAAAAGAAAATTTGCTTGGCTTGTATCTCTATAGAACAGCAGAGAGATTATATTAAGACAAGTTGAGATACGATGGAGTCAATTACCCAGTTTGCAGTACGTAATAGTCAAATGATGGAAGCGCTTTTGAAACTAGAATTACTCTGGCCCAAGCAATAAAAATTTTCACGCAACGTAAGAGAATTCAAACCGAAGTTGGCCAGAACATTACATGTATCTAACAGCTATTTTTGAAGTATGTGAAAACGTTGGAGATTATTTAATTTTGGACAATGTAGTGCAGTACGCATTTGAGACTAAGCGGATAATTCAGCTGGCAAACGTTGACCAAGCAAGAACGGTACAGGCAGAGCAGCTCGCTCACTTTGCGCAATCGTATGAGCTGCACACTGGGAAAAATTGAACTCTCGGGCGGAAAAAAGTAAGCGCAATCGAAATAGTTGTTTCCGTTTTCGATCGACAATGCAATGAAATGCGCCTCTGTCCTAGGCCACGAAGTGGGACATTGGCAGGCAGCATGTCCCCAACGCAAACGCCTATAAGGACCTCGGACAAACTTGTAGCTTGCTGCGAATAAACTTTTATGTCAACGTGATAATACCTGTATTCTGGATCGTGGATCGAGTAGACACTTGGTCAGTAACGAGTCATTGGTTGACAACGTTGAGCCATGTGAGAGAGTTTGTCATTAATCCGATTAGCAGCCGTCCACATGAGCAAGAAGGGCACTGTAATAATCAACGTTCTGGCTTGTGGAGTTGAGCGTGTGCTGACTCTTACGAACGTATACTTTGCTGAGGTTTTAAAGCATATTTTAATTACGTAAAGAACCTTTGACCAATAGGGTTACACACTTGAGTATATTAATACACAACGTGTCTTGTCCGACAAACTTACGGGCGCTGTGGCTTTCGATGTTTAATATAAAAAGAACGTTCTTGTGGTATCGTGTCGAGTGATGGAAAATGTAGTGGAACCGGTTGGATTTATTCTGGCGATATTGGGTGAAGAACCAATGTCCTAGCTTCTTCCGCTCCTTAAAAAGGCAGTTTAATGAATATTCACAAACGTTTTGGCCATTTAACTCAAAACCTATTATTAAGTTGGCTGAAGATCCGCACTGTGTTTTTTTTGCCAACAGACAAGAATCGTGAATCTTAATACGCCTGACCTTGAAGAAAACATACCAAGAACAAACAGCCAAGGCAAGACTCTGGGCAGCACTTATTTATTGACAGGGTGGGAGGTGACATTTGTTCGGACAGCAAGTGCCCGATGACCAAAAAGGATCAACTAAGCAATCGTTAAAAAATAAATTTTATCGATCAAAAAAGCAATTATTGCCGTGAATTTCTTGATTGCACTAAAGAAGCTGCGGCAAAGAAATTTGAAGATTTCCTGACTTTTTTCGAGAAAAATTAATGTTCGTGTACACGTTCTTTGCACAAATCAGGAGAAGAGAACCAGAATGAATACTTTCCTGCAAGAAGTCGGGCGTCGCAAGACAGCGAAGTGAAGCAAGAAATCAAGCTAGCAATGGAAAAGCTGAGCGCATGCATTGGACCATCATGAATATGGCCCGTTGTTTGATATTTTCTTCTGGATTACCGTTGACTATCTGGGGAGACGCAGTTATATTTGCTGCTTACATTAGAACCGGGCCCCTAAATATTTGAATGATGACATAATGTCGTCATTGAAGGTGCTGCCGGATCAGACACCGTCGCTACGTGAAACTGTCTTATTTAGGTCACCATGTACAGTGTACAGGGATTCTAACAGAAAATTAACTACTCTGAAAGGCTAGAAATATATTATCATTGGCATTGGTGAAGAGAACAAAGGTTATCGATTTTACCTACCAAAGGTAAGAGTGGTCATTCTATTGCAGCATGTGCAAAATATAAGGACATTAAACAAACACACAACAAGCAAGTTCAAGAATTGTATTTCCAGAGTAGTATAAGTCTGGAAAGTAACGACTCCGCGCGAGATCAAGTTCAGGATTAAAGAAAATAAAGACATTAAGATTTGAAAGAAGCGACGAGTCGTCAAGACCCGACACGAAACACGAATAAGAGCATTCTGTGGACAAGAAAGGCGAAGGTTGTGACAAGGTTAGCAGCCAAAAACATAAGTTTCTGACGTGATCAAGGAAATGAGCGTTTGGGCAATAAAGAACGTATTGTGAGCGCGGTCACAATTTCTGATTACCAGAACGTTGGTGAAGCTATGCGCACTAATTTAAAGGAAGGATCGATAAAATCCAATTTAGAAGAATCGTAATCTCTGTAGGACGATGTAGTTTAAAATATTGTCAAGCTCCAAAAAGTGTTAAGATATTAAAATTAAAGTGTGTTTAAAAGACCAAGCGTGACGTTAATATGATGTTGAGCGTTTGAAGGCAAGATTGATGGCATGTGGGAATGAACAGGTATTGGATAGAACATGAAAATACTTTTGCCGCTGTGTTTGACATGTTCAGCATCAAATTGATTTTTGCTTAAGCAAGACAATGAAAAAACCTTGGGATGCATAGTGATGTACCAAAAGCTTACGTGAAAGCGGATGAGGAATGAGATTTTAATATCTACATCCGTTTCCCGCAGTGAATGCAGCTTGGCGAGGATCCGAAAAAAACCCGGGTGTGACAAGCAGCAGCAACTTTGAATTGGGGCTGAAGAAAGCATTGTACGGTCTGAAGTTAGCAGGAAGACTGTAGAGAAAATTTCTGCACCAGAAGTTGGTTACTTAGTTTCAATCAAAATACCACGAAAATTTCTATTTATTTTCGATGGGGTCGTGGTCAAGCTTTGATTGTTAAAGTTTTTTTAAATGATGTCTGATATCAGGAACGAGTGAAAGTCCTCTCGACTATTTCTTTGACGCCTCGTTACGCTTTCTGTTAAGAGCCTAGAACGTGCTCGTAAGTTTTTAGATATGTGTATCGAATATATTGAAGAAAATGGGTACAGTTTTGATCAAGGAGTGAAACTGTGGATAAGCTCAAAGAGCATGGTGTAACGAGCCACCAAATTTCTGGGTGCCACAAAACTTTACGTGCACTAGTACGTGAAGAGGAAGCTAAATCTGCTCAACAACTATGTTGAGTAAAGGGTAAAAAGAGAACTAGATTTAGCATGATTAAGCTATCAGTATAACTTTAATCTTTATCTAACTATCCTAATATACACCGTCGTATGACGACAACCTGCTCACCACTCATTGCGCGCGTCTAGCACCGACTGGTGGCAATCTATGGTTAAAACGTCTTTTATAAACCAATCGTGGAGCAGCCTACATGAATATTATCGTAAGGGGGTCATATTACTTCAAAATTACCCATCCCGGTTAATATTGGTAGGATATTGTCATGCTAGACAATTTCCCAATTGACACCGTTTGGTGTCAATTTCATATAACGGGCTACCCCGTTACATGACCCCCCACCTCAACCATCAATCACCCGTTGATTGAATTAAATTTGATTGGGTCAGGGTGACCACCGTTGGATCACTCTGGGAAAGAAAGCACTTGCTGGTCAAATTCCATTCATTTGCCATCCAACGCATGGTTTCGAAAACCAAGCAAGCTGCTACTGCAGCAGCAAGAAAGGCGGCTGCAAGCATGCGTGCAGCCGGAGAGAGTACTTCTCACACATCAGCAGCAGGCGATTCGTCTCCTGTAGTTGTGAACAGTCCAAGTGGTGAGTCACCACGTGCGACAGATACATCCGTTGCGTCTGCAGCGGGTGCCACGAGTCGTAATCAAGACGAGTCTAAGATAGAGCTCATCTATTCTGGCGAGTCGGATGATGCATCCGACTCGAAGGCGACGCTTCACGCCTCCGGATCACCCGGAGCGGACACTGCAAGAGCCAGGTTGACTGGCTCTGGTCAACGCGGCAGTATCATGTCCGAGATCTTCGGATCGAGTGATTATTCCGACGAATCTTCGCCTCACGGAAATCCATCCAACGATAGGACGCGTAGGAATGGTAGTGATGCACCTATAAATTACCACGAGCGAAGTAGTTCAAAGAATCATGGTAACACTGGTGTCAGCGCTCAGGCTGACACCAGTCAAGAGGCCAGGGACCGAAATGTCCTGCGCCACGCTCCCCAAGTGGAGTCTCCGTGGATGCCGTCACCCAAGGAGTTGACCCGGTTGGCCGGCACGACTACCGAACGGTCCCAAATCCCCTTGTTCGATTGCAGGAAGATTTGCCCACCTGATTCCAGCACGGAATCTATCCGTGCTGAGGAAAAGTTCTTTACCGATGCGTTCCTCAAACATCGGTGGTGCAATGGTTGCCGTGTCCGAGAAGGCAAAGCTTTAGTGCACGGATGGAATGCCCTCATCCACAACATCGAGCGCATTGGCCGTGAGGCCTGGTTCGCCAAACTTGATGCAGCTCGCATCAGGTTTGAGAAACGCAACCCAGTCCGGGCGCGACACAAGTTGCACCGACTGTCAAGAAAGGCAGGATTATCCTGTCTTTCTTGGGGACACTCGTGTTCAGGTTTCCTGGACAGCTCGAACCGTTCCCCTAGGGAGGCCTTCCTCCCTATTGATCCCTACTGGAGGGCACGCAACTCTTTCGAGATGGCCGAAGGGTATTGACACCTTGCAATCCCTGTACTCGCGTTAGGGGAGGTCATTTTCCTGCGGCCTTTCTTCGAACGCAGCGGGTGGGTCTCGTCGTACTGCTCGACGAGATCAAGGACATCAACAGTCAGCTGAACACGAGGCTCCTAGTTGTCCCACGCCAGTAGTTAGCCATGGTAGCGGACGAGATAACTCGTCAGGACGCCATTCACGTCGCGGTGGTTCAAAATACGCTCCACTAAAAGGCGTTGACCATCGCTTGAGTCCACCACAGGATGTGGTGGTGGCGGGAACACCTGATCCGGCTCGAGGTCCGGGTCATCTTGATGTTCAGGAGCTGAACCGTATAACGGGACAGTTGCAAGATAATCTGGCTCATGAACGGACTCGGCGTTGTGAGCTTCATGATCTTGTAAAGGATAATTACAATTTAACAGCGCACGATCGTTCAGATGATCGTGCTGCGTTTGCGCTTGCACAACTTGAAAACGAACGTTCGACTCATTCTCTTCGTGACGAGATAGCTGCAGCTTGTCAAGACATCGCTCAGCTGCGTGAGCAGGTCGCTTCACTAGACGACCGGACTAGATCGTTAAAACGGGACCACCCGAAGTTGGTCTCGGCTCTTGACCGCGGAGATGTTCTTCGCATCTCGAAACGGGCTCGTACTGATAGTACGGGCGGAGACGACCGAAGTTAAACGTAGGATACGTAAGCTGTAACGGGGCACCCTGAAGCTTGTACTGGTGACAGTACAAGCTACTTATTCTGATAACAGAATAAGGCGGTGCCTCGTAACTTCACGTACACTCGTACGTGCAGAGGAAGACGGTAAGAAGAAGCGAGTACTCGGTTAGAGTAAAAAGTAGAACTGTATTTATAATAGTTAATGTCTGCAATAAATCACTATTTATCTTCATCTAACTATGTCTAAATACAAATGTGTAAATCAGTTATCTGCTCACCACTCATTGCGTGCGTCTGTCGTGGCGCGTCTTCGTTGGTTGATATAATGGCCTATATCAACCAATTAGGAACTACTTGGAAGTGCTACCGAATATTGTCCTTATGACAATATTCTGAGAATATAACTCTTATAGTTATATTCTATTAACAATTTCTTATAAATTGTTATGTAACGATTCACCCCGTTACATCACCCCCCTTAACCATCAGTCACTTTAGTGACTGATTGACTAAATGGATACTCGTCCCAAATCATTTGGGACGGGGTTTGCACTTGTTGGTCCGCGTCCACTTTCCAACATCTCATCGCATGGTAAACAAGCCCATGCGATGCGCGAGCAAGGCCGCCGAGAGCGCGTCTGCACGTCTCTGTGCGGACGCCGAAGCAGAAACTACAGCAACTGATGTCCCATCGGTTGCTGAATCGACTCAGCCTGTATCACCTGGTGATGCAGGCGCTGGTCATGAAGACACTCGTGTCTTCACAGAGTACGAGCTCGGTGTCTCGTACTCTCCTGATACGGATGACGGATCCGTATCGACGGCGATTGAATCTAAGCCGCCTGCCAAGCGTGGCATGGACGATGCTTTGCGTCGCAGCATCTTTGGTTCATCTGATGAGTCAGATGAACCATCGCCGAAGCGAAGGCGCTCGAGGTCGCGAGACTCGGGCGCTAATAGTGGTGTCGGTTCTCCTATGGACACCACTTCACAGCGAGGTGCCAGTACTTCTGTCGGCACGTCGCAGGAAGAGCGGGACCGCAATGTGTTGCGTCTCGCTCCAGAAAAGAAGGCATGGATGCCTCCTAAATCCGTCATGGATCACTTGTCGGCGACGACGAGTGATCGTTATCGAACACGATTGTTCGATTCGTCAAGGATCCATCACCTTGACCCCAGCGCGAAAGACTATCGCGCTGAACATGAGTTCTTCATCGATGCTTTCTTCAGACATCGATGGTACAGTGGGAATCACAAACGTGATGGTCCCTCACTACTTCAGGCGTGGAACGCCTACATCCATAATCTCGAGGATGTAGGTCGTGACGCTTGGAACGACAAACTTATCAAAGCTCGTGATAAGTTTGAAAAGCGAACCCCGACAGGTGCACGCTATAAGCTGCATCGTCTGTCAAGGGAGAAAGGATTACCCTGCCTCTCTTGGGGAGACTCGTGCCCATGTTGTGTGAACAACTCTGCACGAGCACCTAAGGAGGCTTACCTCCTTACCAGCCCGTGGTGGCGTGTACGTGTCTCTACTGAGATGTACGAAGGGATTGACAACCTGAAATCCCTTTACGACCGTGCCGGGAAGACTTTCTCCGGCGGTCCTTCTGCGGCACAGGATGTGTCGCGTCGTACTGCTCGACCAGACCCAGTACGTCAACCATCAATTGGGAGCGGGGCTCCCAAGAATCCCAGGACGGGGGATAGCCGCGCCACCGGACGAGGTAACTCGTCCGACGTCCGTTCACGTCGCGGTGGTTCAACAGCTGCTCTACTAGATAGCGCTGGCCACCGCGAGAGTCCTCTAATGGAGGTGGAGGAGGAGGAAAGACGCTCTCCACACGATCATGTGGATCGGTGTGTTCCCGAGAGCTTCTTTGATCGCGTAACGCAAGGGTTACGCGACGATCTCGAGCATGAGCGGAATAGGCGTCTCCAGATGGTGGACACTGCCTCGAAGCATCGAGCTGAGTTTGCCTTTGCTCAGCTTGAGAACGAGAGATCTCTGACATCTCTTCGTGACGAGCTAAGGGTAGCTCGTGGGATTGTTGATCGGTCTCGGGCTGAGATAACTGCTCTTCAGACCCTTGTTGATGCCCACCATCGGGAGCACAAGGCTCTCTGCGAGATGCTTGAGCGCAAGGGCGTTCTTCATCGGAAGAAGCAGCGTACTGATGGTACGGCTTAAGCCGACCAACGTAAAACGTGGGATGCGTTCGCATCTTACGTGGTAACTCGATCGTGTATGCATTGCCTAGGCGGTGCAATACACGAAATGGGCCAATGTACTTGGGTAGTAGTTTACTGCTACCCAAGTTAGTCACTACATGTTTTGGTAGATTAACCGTAGACAGTAGGACTAAGTCACCTTTATTAAATAAAAGAGTGTTTGCCCTTCCATTCTTGTCAGCGTTTTGCTTTTGCTTATCCACCGCTTCGGCGATGGAGTCTTGCACAAAACGGACTACCGTTTCACGAGCCAGTATGAACTCATCTGATGACTCGTTAGCTTCAGTGTGCTGTGAGCGCACTGCAGCAACAACAACCTTTTCTTCAGTGAGGGCTTCCGCACTCTCACTGGGATCATTGTCTTCAGTGAGGGCTTCCGCACTCTCACTGGCATCATCTTCTTCGATATCGATGTTATCGATATCGGCATCAAACGCAATGACTTCTTCGTCAGAGCGTGATGAGCGTGAACCAAATCGGTTTTTGCTCGCGCGAGTCCCTCCCCCTTAAACCAGAGTTACACTCTAGTAAGGTGGGTATACGCGGATGGCGCAAGCCATTCACGTAAAACGGTGTATGTGTCGTGGACGCATGCACCGAGTTGTTGATGGCAAACTCTACCATTGGCAAAAACTCACTCCAACTCTTAAAGGAGTGTACGTATCCTCGAAGTATCTCTTCAAGGACACGATTGGCACGTTCCGTCTGACCATCTGACTCTGGATGATCAGATGTCGACATCTTCAAGCGCGTTCCGAGTGATTTGAACACGGAACGCCAGAAATCAGCAGTGGATCGTGGATCTCTGTCTGATACGAGTTCACGGGGCAACCCATGAAGTCGGAAGATGGTGTCAATAAAGACACAAGCACAGCCACTTGCCGTGATTGTCTCTGGTACAGCCACAAGGTGTACCATTTTGCTGAATCTGTCAACAAATACGAGAATACCCGTATTCCCGCGTGCGTCTTTGGGTAACCCGAAGACGAAATCCATTGAGATGGATTCCCAGCACTCAGCCGGAACCGGTAGAGGCTGTAAAGGTGCACGCAGTGAAGGACTTGACTTCACTCGTTGGCAGACTTCGCATGCGCGAACATACTTTCGCACAAACTGATACTGGCGGGGCCAGTAAAAGTCTCGACTTACCGTGAGATATGTTTTCTCTCGGCCACGATGTCCTCCTATAGGAGCATCGTGATACTCGAACATGATCCGCAAACGCAGATCAGTATCATCTGGAATGACAACACGTGGTGTGTCACCAGAAACGGCTGTATAATACAGTAAACCGTTACGAGTAGTGTATCGATCTGATGCAGATCGATACGCAGACGACAATCGTTTCAACGATTCTCGGGATGGTTGGGAGAGATGTGACAACAACTTCACTATCTCACCATCTTGGGCGTATGCCCGCCTCACATCATCATACAACATTGTAGATGGGACTGAGGACGTCATAACCGCAACAGTGACTGTCTCACTGTTGGGTTTCGCGACTGTTTCAAAGTCGGGACGACGTGAGAGTGCATCAGCGACGACATTAAGTCGTCCTGGTTTGTACTCGACCGTAAAGTTGTATTCTGCAAAGAATGACAACCACCGCGCCATTCGTTGTGAAAGGTGCGGGCTGTTCACTGCCGTGCGTAAGGACGCATGGTCAGTGTAAACAACGAAGGGTCTATCTCCTAATAGATAGACTCTGAACTTCGCGAGTGCATACTTCATGGCAAGGAGTTCCTTGTCATGCACTGGATAGTTCCGCTCAGCTGGTTGCAGCTGACGCGACTGATAGCAGACGACGCGTTCAACGCCTTCAAGGTCGTACTGCATTAATGCACAGCCGATTGCGAAATCGCTGGCATCACAGACCACATGAAATGGCCTGTCCTGATCGGCTATTGCTAGGACTGGGGATTGTATCAAGCTCTGCTTGATACCCTCAAAGGAGCGTTGACATTCAGCGTTCCATAACCACCTCTCGTTCTTTTTCAACAAACGAGAGAGGTGTACAGTCATCTCGGCGTAATTGCGTGAATACTTATGCAAATACGCCGCTAGCCCAAGGAATTTTCGAAGACCTTTGACATCGACCGGCACAGGCCAGTCGGTGATCGCCTTGATCTTTTCGGGATCAGGACGTACACCGTTCTTACCAACGATGCACCCAAGAAGTGGTATTTCGCTTGCTGCAAATATACACTTCTTGAGGTTAGCATACAATTGATGCTTTCGCATGATTGTAAGAACTTGTCGGACGTGGTACCTGTGAACCTCAACGTCCGACTTTCCATCCATAGCTCGACTATGGATGAATACGTCATCGAAATAACTCGGCGCGAACTCTCGTACTGGTCTCAACAGATGTGATACACATCTGTTGAACGTGGCAGGGGCATTACTGAGCCCTTGTGGCATTACTAGCCATTCCCAGAGCATGCCGCTAGGCGTGCTAACTGCGGTATAGGGTATATCCCGTTCCCGCATTAGGATTTGATAGAAGCCATCCATCAAATCCATGGACGAAAAGATGGTACTCTTTGACATACCATCAATGATTACGTCCTTCCTCGGTATCGGCGTCTGAGCCGGTACCGTTGCAGCGTTCAATTTGTTAAACGCGTGCACTATCCGCCACCCTCCTGTTGCTTTTCGCACACAGAAGGTCGGAGAGCTATGTGGGGAAGTTGATTCCCTCACATGGCCCGCTGCTAAACGATCGGCAAAGAACTTGTCGATCGCAAGTACTTGTTCACGAGGCAGTGGCCACTGCTTCATGACACAGTACTTCGAGCCTGGTTTAAGCTCGACTTCGTGTCGAATACCTTTATCCTTCGGTAATTCGCACGGAACAGTTTCAGGGAATACATCCTTGAATTCAACCAAATCTTCATAGAGAGGATTTTCCTTGAGCGATTCCCATGATTGGGACTCATATCGCTCAATTCGTGTCTTTTCATCTAGGACACTCTCGTCCATAGATGAACTACTGAGAACTCTCTCGTTCTCAGTAAACACTGTTGCTGACCTTATGTCGGTTACATACTCGTCGTCAGCGACGAGTATGCAGATCTGCTTGACTTTGCCACTACGCAGATCACGCAAGAACCTTTTTATGTTCGAGCGTTGGCAACTGAGTGATCTCCGAAGTTAACTTCGGAGGCGCAATCAGATCAAGTGTATAAGCGCCTACACATGATCCGTTATTGACTATGACATTCAATGTCTCTGTCATTTCCTGGGGACTTATTCCCTCAGGCTTCGAAGGACTTATTCCTTCGTCTTCCCGGGGACTTATTCCCGCGGGTTTCGGGGAACTTATTTCCGCCGTATTTGTAATCTTGGGACTTATTCCCTTTACTTCCTTTAGCTGGGGTTGCGCAACCACAGCGAGATCCTCTACGAAAGACTCTCCAGTCGATCTAGGATTATCGTTTCGCTTAACCTGAGCGATCGATTGTTTCTCTTCTAGATGTTCCCCTCTAGGGATACATCTTTGTCCCAGTCCACCCGACTTATTCGAGTGGTGGACCTTCGGCGCAGCCTGTGTTTCCTCACAGCCGCCGGAACTTTGCTCCGAAGTGTAACCGTTTGGTACACTAAGGTTTTGTGCAGTCGTACTAACGACCGTACCACAAGTGAGGCCATCGCACTCACTCGTAGTACATCCACACGCTTGTGGACGCTCCAAAACGTTCATCAGATGGCCATCTGATGAACAAGCGGCAGGCATCGTTACTGTCCGATGTTGCCAGTTTACCCGTGGTTCGTACCTTCTGAGCCACGGTATTCCAAGGATGACATCAAATTTGTCATCCAAATCCAATACGATAAAGTCATCGTCGTATTGGGTATCTTCTAGCGTATAGTGAATCTTCACTATACGCTTCATGACGGATTACGGATGCGCCTGTCGCAAGACGTACCGTCATCCTCGTAGGAGGTGTGTCACATTCACTGAATTTAAAGTGACCATCTTCTAGCGATTGGCGTCGCACAAAATTGTTGGACGCCCCACAATCGACTAGAGCTCGAAGGGACAACTTATTCGTCACTTCGAGTTTCAAGGTAATGAGTGAGACCTCATTACCTAGAGCAGCAACGCACAATGTCTGTGTGTTGGGAGCAACCTTCATCAAGAGGCCTACAAATTCTCTTGACGTTGCTGGATCAGTAGGGTGCTCCGCACCTACTGATCCTGTCCGTTTTTTGACGGTCCATCCCGTTGTTGCGTCTTTGCACCAACTGCGGACCCTCGTCCCTGCCCCTTTCTCATGGGTGGACGGTCACTACGCCCAGTGTCGCGAGACACTGGACGAGGGGCACTACACTCGTAAGCGTAGTGTCCTGTCTTCTGACATCTGTTGCATCTCTGCAACTTCTTGTAGCCTGTAGAGCGAACCTTCTCGCTCTCTACATAACAGAGTTCCATCGGCTCTGGACCTCCGTTGTCATATCGTCTCGGTTGACGATATGATGTCGAGCTGGCGCGAGCCTGTCTCAGACTGAAGTCTTCCTGTTCCGCAATGGAAATGGCTTGTTCTAGTGAATCTAGTTCAAGCCGGAACAGGTGAGTCTTGACGGGACCATCCGCAAGACCCTGCATGAACACCGAAACCAACGTGTGTTCATCCACCGGATTGGAACTTATACAACTCGTGAGATGTCGTATATGTTGAGCGTAAGCGTGCACATCACGCTTACCCTGCTTGAGCTTCAAGAGTTCGGTTCGAGCTCTGAACTCAGCTCTAGGCGGTTCAAACGTTTGTCTGAGCCGCGACTTGAAGACTTCCAACGACCCAAACGCGTATGGGTCGTGCAGCTTGAGCCCCAGTGCCCAAGTCTTGGCACGTCCTGCCAGATTTGACTGGGCAAATGCAACTTGCATATCCCCGTCGTCGATGCGACGCGCCCTTATGGCGTCATCCAATTCGACGAACCATCTCAAGAGGGAGTCTTCTTCGACCCCCCTATACTTTGAGATGTCAATCTTCAAAGTCTCGGGCCGACGCGAGTGCATCGACCGGCCAGCAGCAGCCTGCTGCTGTCTCAACAGTTCAAACTGTTGAGCACCTTGTTCTCTCAACAACTCTGCTTGTTGAGAACCTTGTTGGTGAAGCAAGGCTACTTTCTCGCGTTCTGCGTCAAGTTCATTTTGAATGAACTTGGCGATAGTAGCATGTTGGGCATCTCTATTGAGAGCCTCTAGCATGACGCTAACAGCATGGATGCCCATGGTCGAACCCATTCGTTCAGCCGCATCCCATTCGACATCGCTCAAATGGGAGTAGCCGTCACGCGTAGCGTGAAAGCTTTGGTCATCTTCATCATCCAACATATTCATGTTGGATGTGAACGCGGTCCTTGGACGGACTACGAAGTGCTACCAGGTGTAACGGGGCACCCTGAAGCTTGTACTGGTGACAGTACAAGCTACTTATTCTGATAACAGAATAAGGCGGTGCCTCGTAACTTCACGTACACTCGTACGTGCAGAGGAAGACGGTAAGAAGAAGCGAGTACTCGGTTAGAGTAAAAAGTAGAACTGTATTTATAATAGTTAATGTCTGCAATAAATCACTATTTATCTTCATCTAACTATGTCTAAATACAAATGTGTAAATCAGTTATCTGCTCACCACTCATTGCGTGCGTCTGTCGTGGCGCGTCTTCGTTGGTTGATATAATGGCCTATATCAACCAATTAGGAACTACTTGGAAGTGCTACCGAATATTGTCCTTATGACAATATTCTGAGAATATAACTCTTATAGTTATATTCTATTAACAATTTCTTATAAATTGTTATGTAACGATTCACCCCGTTACATAAGCAGCTTACGGTGCTGTTCAATTGTGAATGCGTTACCCATTCGTCGCAACACAAAAAACTGGACCAATGTACTTAGGCAGTAATTCACTGCTGCCCACGTTTGTCACTGCGTGTTTCGGTAGGTTTACTGTAGACAGTAAAACGAGGCCTCCTTCATCAAATGAAAGAGCATTTGCTCTTCCATGTTTGTCTGCGTTTCTTTTCTGCTTGTCTATCGCATCTGCAATAGAGTCTTAAGCGAAGCGGACAACCGCTTCGCGACTCAGCAGAAATTCCTCTGCTGATTTATCCTTGTCAACAGCAGTGCGTTTCGTGTACACGGCTGGAAGAACATTGTCTTCAACAGTGAGAGCTTCATCGTCTTCACTGTGGCAGTCGTTGACGATACTGAAATTACAAGCACTGTCGTCATCGTCATCATCGATGTCAATCGCAACGACATCGGCATCCATCACGTCGACATTATTGTCGACGTGTGATGAGCAAGAACCTGATCAGGGTTTGTTCGCGACAGTCCACCCCCCCACACCCTTAAACTATAGTCACACTCTAAAAGGGCGGGTAAACGTGGATGGCGAAGGCCGTTCACGAAGAACGGTGTATGCGTTGTCGACGCATGCACCGAGTTAAATATAGCAAATTCCGCCATTGGCAAGAACTTACTCCAGCTCGTGAACGAGTGGACATACCCTCGAAGTATCTCTCTTCGAGGACGCGGTTGAAGCGTTCCGTCTGACCATCTGTTTCTGGATGGTCAGAAGTTGACATCATCAAACGTGTTTCAAGTGAACGGAACCCGGATTGTCAGAACTAAGCTGTGAAGCGGGGGTCCCTTTGAGACACAAGTTCATGGGGTAACCCATGAAGTCGGAATATAGTATCGCTAAAGACACGAGAACAGCTCTGGGCTGTGATTGACTACGGTACAGCAACAAGATGTACCATCTTGTTGAACCGATCAACAAACACAAAAAGACCGGTATTCTTTTGAACGTCTTTGGGAAACCCGAAGACGAAGTCCATCGATACGGACTGCCAACACTCTGCCAGAATCGGAAGAGGCTGCAAGGGTGCACGGGATGAAGGACTAGGCTTCACCCGTTGACAAAATTTGCAAGCGCGAATGGATTTGCGCGCAAACTCATAAAGACTTACCTTACGGTGAGTCTTTTCCCTACCGCGATGATCACTTGTTGGGGCATCGTGACACTCATACATGATGCGCAATAGCAAATCATCAGGAGCAAGAACGACGACACGGGGTGTGTCGCCGTTGGCTGCTGTATAGTACACAGTCCATCACGAACCGAATACCGTTCGGTTGAAGTGCGGCATTGAGACGTCAAGCTTTTTAGAGCATGACTGCATGGATTGTATACGCAATCCATCAATCGCAGAAGAGACTCATCTTTCGCGTATGCTTTTCGCACGTCATCGAGCAGATTCGACGACGGAACACTCACTGTTAGTGTCGCTACAGTGGGATCACCCCTACAGTTGTGTTGAGCAGTCGGCTCGAAATCGGGCCGACGCGAAAGAGCATTAGCGACGGCATTAAGTCGTCCTGGTTTCTAGTCGACGGAGAAGTTGTACTACGCGAAGATTGACAGCCACCTCTCCATTCGTTGCGAAAGGTGTGGACTGTTTACGGCCGCGCGTAACGACGCATGGTCGGTATAACGATGAAGGGCCTATCTCCTATGAGATATACCCGAAACTTAGCCGGTGCATATTTCATGGCAAGGAGTTCCTTGTCATGCACCGGGTAATTACACTCAGCTGCTTGCAGCTAACTCGATTGTTAACAGACGACGCGCTCAACGCCGTCTGAGTCGTACTGCATTAACGCACAGCCGATTGCAGAATCGCTGGCGTCACAGACCACGTGGAATGGTCTATCCTGGTCTGCAATCGCTAACACAGACGATTGCATCAAGGTTTTCTTGACACCTTCAAAAGAGTGCGGACACTCAGCACTCCATGACCACCTCTCTTTTTTCTTTAACAAACCAGAGAGATGTACGGTCATCCTGGCGTAGTTGCGCGAGTACTTGTGCAAGTACGCCGCTAAGCCAAGGAACTTTCGAAGTTCCTTCACGTCAACCGGCAAAGGCCAGTCGCTAATCGCCTTGAACTTTTTCGGATCAGGGCGTACACCGTTTTTGCCCACGTTGCAGCCAAGAAGCGGTATATCGTTCGCTGCGAATATACACTTCTTGAGGTTCTCGAACAGCTTATTCTCTCGCATTAGAGTAAGAACCTTCCGGACGTGGATTCTATGAACCCCCACGTCCGTCTTTCCATCCATAGCCCGGCTATGATCGAATACATCGGCGAAGTAACTCGGTGCAAAATCGCGCACCGATCGCAACAAGTTCGTAACACATCTGTTAAACGTTGCAGGGGTGTTTCTTAGCCCCTGTGGCATCACTAGCCACTCCCAGAGCATACCACTGGGTTTGATCACTGCTGTGTACGGGATATCCCGTTCACGTATGAGGATCTGATAGAATCCATCCATCAGATCCACGAAAGAAAAGACGGTACTTCTTGCCATACCATCTATGATAATTTCCTTTCTTGGGATCGGCGTTCGAGAAGGTACCGTTGCAGCGTTCAATTTGTTGAACGTGCGCACTATCCGCCACCCTCCTGTGGCCTTTCGCACACAGAAGGTTGGAGAGATGTGAGGAAAAGCTGATTTTCTTATATTTCCGGTTGCAAAGCAATCGGCTTTAAACTTGCTGGTCGCGAGTACGCATTCACGAGGCAGTGGAAACTGATTCATGACACAGTTTTTCGAACCAGGTTTCGGTTCGATCTCATTCCGAGTGCCTTCGTCCTTAGACAACTCGCATGGCACGGATCTCGGGGAAAACATCCTTGAATTCCACCAAATCCTTTTGCATAGGATTTGTCTTCAAAGACTCCAAAGATTGAGACGTGTATCGCTCAATCCGAGTCTTCTCATCGAGAACACTCTCGTCCATCGATGAGCTACTGAGAACCTGTTCGCTCTCATAAATAACTTGTGCCGACCGAATATCGGCGACGTTCTCGTCCTCTGTGACGAGTACGCAGATCTGCTTGATCTTGTCACTAGGCAGATCTCGCATGAATCTTTTACATTCTAGGGTTGGCAACTTGACTACCGCAGAAGCTGAATAAGGGGGGGGGGTGTAACCGAATCAAGTGTATAAGCGCCTACACTTGATCCGTCATTCACCAAGACATTCACTGACTCGGCAATTTCGTGGAAAAAATCATCCGCAGGTGGTTAGGGATCTACAGCCTCAACATAGCTCTCTCGGGAGTTATCACTCTCAGAAAAGCTGGATTTATCTTCCATTACGTGTACTACCACAGTCACGTTCTTTTTCGATCGACTCTCTTTCAGTCGATCGGGCTTGCTCTACGATCGACTCTCTGATAGTCGATATCGCTTTAACTTGTTGTTCATCTTGAACGACACAAGTCTCTCTTATTGTATGCACCCTTCTTGGTGTGCATCCGTGTTCCAGCCCACTCGATCTCTTCGAGTGGTGAACCTTCGGCGCAGCCTTTATCTCTACACAGGTGCCGGAAGCTAGTTCCACAGTGTAGTGGCCTTCTGTACGGTATTCTTGTGCAGTCATACTAACGACTCTACCATAAGTGAGGCCATCGCACTCACTCGTAGTACATCCACACGATTGTGGACGCTCCAAGACGTTCATCAATTGGCCATCCGATGAACAAACGGCAGGCATCTTCACGGATCGATGCTGCCAGCTGACCCATGGCTCGTATCTTCTAAGCCAAGGCAGACCGAGGATGACATCAAATCTGTCATCCAAATCCAGTACGATGAATGCATCGTCGTACTGCTTTCCTTATAGCGTGTAGTGGATTCCCACTACACATTTGTTCGCTGTTACGGATTCGCCTGTAGCAAGACACACCGTCATCCTCGTTGGAGGGAACTATCGCTCAACATAGTTGAGCCTACTATCTACAAGTGGCTGACGTCGAATAAAACTGTTCGACGCCCCACAGTCAACTAGGGCGCGAAGTGACATTACACTTGTCACCTCGATCTTCAAAGTAATGAGGGACTCCTCATCACTAGGGTCAGTAACACATAGAGACTGTGTGTTGGGAGCAATCTTCGTCAAGAGTCCTGCAAATACTCTTGACGTTGCTGGATCAGTAGGGTGCTCCGCCCCTACTGACCCTGTCCGTTTTTTGACGGTCCGACTTGCTGTCGCGGTTTAGCAACATGGTTGGACCTACGACTCGGACCTTTCCTTGGCCAGCGGTGGTCATCACGTCCTGTCTTTGGACGTGTTGCGGTGCTTGACACACTACACGCATGAGCGTAGTGTCCAATCTTCTGACAGCGATGGCATCTTGCCGTTTGCTCGTGACTCAGAGAGCAAGCGTTCTCGCTCTAATGTAGCAGAGGTCCATTGGTCCGGGACCTCCTGTTTCCTGTCGTCTCGCTGGACAATAGTTAGATAAGTTAGCCTGAGACTGTTTCAGTCTGAAGCCTTCTTGTTCCGCACATGCTATCGCCATTTCCTGCGTATGGAAGTCCTCTTGTAACATGTAGGAAATCATCGTCCCATCTACAAGGCTTTAGATGAACACGTTGATGAGCGTGTGCTCATCAACAGGGTGTTCCGTAGCGCCACTTACAAGGTAGCGCAGGTGTTGTGCGTAAGCGTGCACATTGTCGAATTTCTAGATTGTCGTGAGCGTTTAGAAGAAGTTACTTGTGGTCGAAGCAGTAAAACCAAAAATGAATAGCATTGTGTGTTTACCTCATCCTACCGTTAGTCTCATTCTTGCTACCATTAGATCTTCTGCGCTTCGTCTCCAGTCGTCTCAGCTGTCCAATCATTATTCGCGGTTACACCTGCAGACCGGTCAATTCTAATTGACCAATCACACGTCGTTGTCATGCCCCTGTCGCAAAAGTAGGGGACGTCACTATCTGGCAGGACAGTGCTGGCAAACCCTAGATACCAGGACCCGAAGGCTTCACTTTGTAGCTTGTCCCCACCGGAACCAGTGACCTCTGGGATAACGCTGCCACGCCTTCCCGACTGAGAAACTGGACGTTTTCAAATCACCATGCAACTTTTCTACCGTACTTGTACTAACTTCTAACGCAATAACACACCTGAAGATAAATGAACTTTCCATGCAACTGCACAAGAAGCATCACCTACCACCAACACTCTCCCTTGATGCGCATGTGCTTCTTTGCTTGCGCCTAAGTTTCAAGATGAAGACCTTTGAGAAACTTCTCATGTTTGACACGCCCGAGCTCTTTCGTTAAGCCGTCTGCAACCATTTGATCCGTAGGTACATACTCGAGCTCAATGACATCTTCCACAACCTTTTTCGCGAAGAAAATGAAATTTGATGTCGATGTGTTTTTTTCTTGAGTGAAACACCGGGTTCTTTGAAGGGTAATGCAGCCTTGGTTATCTTCATAGATTGTCGTTCCCGCTTCTGGTACAATACCCCTATTCGAAAGCAGCAAATGCAGCCATACCGCCTCTTGTGTCGCAGAGTACGACGCCATGTACTCTGCCTCGGTGCTTGACGTTGCCACCGTCGGCTGCCGCTTCGACTTCCATGAAACCACACTGTTGTTTATGAAGAATACGTAGCCCGTTGTCGAGCGACGCGAATCCAAATCACTCGCCCATGACACATCCGCGAAGCCTAGCGGTTCGTGCTTGTTGTTGCCATCGAACACGATGCTGAAGTCCGCGGTCATCTTTAGGTACTTTAGCACTCACTTTGCTGCTGTCCAGAGCTGCTTTCCATTCTTCTCACAATGCCTGGCTACTTCTCCAACCGCATGCATAATATCTGGGCGGGTGCACGTGAAGACGTACATCAAAGCACCTACCAGCTCGCGGTAAGGCCACTTGGGCACACAATTTTCATCCGTCGTGAGCTTTGAAAGCTTCTAACCCTCATTAGTCGGCGTGTGCACGTCCTTGCATTTGTCGATGCCATACTTCTCTGCAAGACGCTTGATGTATCCACGTTGATTCAACCGAATTGTCTTGCTGTTAATGTCACGCTTCAGTTCAATACCAAGGCAGTACTTTAGTTCACCGAGCTCCGTCCGTCCCTTGATGCTACAGTCCGTCTTGAGTTCACGCTTGATGTCGTCGATGTGTTTTTGCGTCCGCATGAAAATCATCAAGACATCAACGTGAATGATCATGAGACTAAATTCACCCTTCGATCGGCGTAGGTAAACACAAGGATCAGCTGCTGCCTTCTTGAAGCCTTGTACTTCGAGGTGGTGGCTAAGACGATTGATCCATTCGCGTGCTGCCTGCTTTGTGCCGTATAGTACTTTGTGCAAAAGGCACTTTTCGCACGGTGTCGCTCATCCACAAATCCGTCCGGCTGGTGCATGTAGATCTCTTCCTTAACTTCACCGTAAAGGAAGGCAGTGTCAACATCGACATCTTTAATCTTCAAATTTTCTTCAGCCGCGAGCGATAACGCGATATTGATCGACTCTTTACGAGCCACGGGATCTAAAGTGTCGAAATAGTCCACGCCGGGACGCTGTGTGAATCCCTTAGCCACGAGTCGTGCCTTGAACTTTACAATCGCCCCGGATTGATCTCGCTTGATTCGAAAAATCCACTTCACCTGATCGACCTCTTGTCGCTAGGAATATCTACAAGAGTCCATGTCTTGTGCTGAACGAGCGACTTGATCTCGCTCTTCTTGGCACGCATCCAGTCTTTCTTGTGCTTGCTCCTTAGCTCTTGATCGTATGTCGACGCACTCTAGCCGTCATCATCTGCGCTAAGGCAGTATTGTGCGTCGTAGCCATCTTCATAGTCGTCGAGATTAAATACACCGCGCTGCAAGTTTGGAAACTCTTGCTCGTAGCGAGTAACCGCCTGTTTCTTTCGCACTGGACGCACATGTGGCTCTGGTTCACCGTCACGCCCCGGTGTACTCGATTGTCGCGTTGGGACGGGGCCAGAAGGTCGTTCGGTCGGTCCCGTGTTGACATGGGTGACACTTGGACTTCCGGGTGTTGGGGTGTGAATTTCATCATCCATTGCTGCGTCTGTAGGCTCTTGTACATAATCTTCGTCATCCAAAAGTCGATCACATCGGGTGTGATGCTTCTGCTTGCTTTTACTATCGCATGCTCGGCGGAAGTCGCGCTGCGAGATATCACCACATCCCCTGTGCTTGCATTTAGAAGTCGATAGGTCTTGTGCTGTTTAGAGTAGCCGAGTAGCAAACAGCGCACACCTGAGTCGTCTAACTTGGCTCTCTTTGCCTTGGCCACGTGCGCGTAGCATAGACTACCAAACACCCGCATAGAACCGATCTGTGGCTTGCGCTTGAACAAAACTTCGAACGGACTTGCCTTCAGACTTGACGCATGATATACTGGTTGAATTCCTAGGTTGTCGTGAGCGTTTAGAAGAAGTTACTTGTGGTTGAAGCAGTAAAACCAAAAGTGAATAGCATTGTGTGTTTACCTCATCCTACCGTTAGTCTCATTCTTGCTACCATTAGATCTTCTGCGCTTCGTCTCCAGTCGTCTCAGCTGCCCAATCACGATTCGCAGTTTCACCTGCAGACCGGTCAATTCTAATTGACCATCTCACGTCGTTGTCATGCCCCTGTCGCAAAAGTAGGGGACGTCACTATCTGGCAGGACAGTGCTGGCAAACCCTAGATACCAGGACCCGAAGGCTTCACTTTGTAGCTTGTCCCCACCGGAACCAGTGACCTCTGGGATAAAGCTGCCACGCCTTCCCGACTGAGAAACTGGATGTTTTCAAATCACCATGCAACTTTTCTACCGTACTTGTACTAACTTCTAACGCAATGACACACCTGAATATAAATGAACTTTCCATGCAACTGCACAAGAAGTATCACCTACCACCAACACTCTCCCTTGATGCGCATGTGCTTCTTTGCTTGCGCCTAAGTTTCGAGATGAAGACCTTTGAGAAACTTCTCATGTTTGACACGCCCGAGCTCTTTCGTTAAGCCGTCTGCAACCATTTGATCCGTAGGTACATACTCGAGCTCAATGACATCTTCCACAACCTTTTTCGCGAAGAAAATGAAATTTGATGTCGATGTGTTTTTTTCTTGAGTGAAACACCGGGTTCTTTGACAGGGTAATGCAGCCTTGGTTATCTTCATAGGTTGTCGTTCCCGCTTCTGGTACGTGTTCGTGTTCATAAATGCCTCAAATCTCTAATACCAATATTCGAAAGCATCAAACGCAGCCATACCGCCTCTTGTGTCGCCGAGTACGACGCCATGTACTCTGCCTCGGTGCTTGACGTTGCCACCGTCGGCTGCCGTTTCGACTTCCATGAAACCACACTGTTGTTTATGAAGAATACGTAGCCCGTTGTTGAGCGACGCGAATCCAAATCACTCGCCCATGACACATCCGCGAAGCCTAGCGGTTCGTGCTTGTTGTTGCCATCGAACACGATGCTGAAGTCCGCGGTCATCTTCAGGTACTTTAGCACTCGCTTTGCTGCTGTCCAGAGCTGCTTTCCATTCTTCTCGCAATGCCTGGCTACTTCTCCAACCGCATGCATAATATCCGGGCGGGTGCACGTGAAGACGTACATCAAAGCACCTACCAGCTCGCGGTAAGGCCACTTGGGCACACAATTTTCATCCGTCGTGAGCTTTGAAAGCTTCTAACCTTCATTAGTCGGCGTGTGCACGTCCTTGCATTTGTCGATGCCATACTTCTCTGCAAGACGCTTGATGTATCCACGTTGATTCAACCGAATTGTCTTGCTGTTAATGTCACGCTTCAGTTCAATACCAAGGCAGTACTTTAGTTCACCGAGCTCCGTCCGTCCCTTGATGCTACAGTCCGTCTTGAGTTCACGCTTGATGTCGTCGATGTGTTTTTGCGTCCGCATGAAAATCATCAAGACATCAACGTGAATGATCATGAGACTAAATTCACCCTTCGATCGGCGTAGGTAAACACAAGGATCAGCTGCTGCCTTCTTGAAGCCTTGTCCTTCGAGGTGGTGGCTAAGACGATTGATCCATTCGCGTGCTGCCTGCTTTGTGCCGTATAGTACTGTGTGCAAAAGGCACTTTTCGCACGGTGTCGCTCATCCACAAATCCGTCCGGCTGGTGCATGTAGACCTCTTCCTTAACTTCACCGTAAAGGAAGGCAGTGTCAACATCGACATCTTTAATCTTCAAATTTTCTTCAGCCGCGAGCGATAACGCGATATTGATCGACTCTTTACGAGCCACGGGATCTAAAGTGTCGAAATAGTCCACGCCGGGACGCTGTGTGAATCCCTTAGCCACGAGTCGTGCCTTGAACTTTACAATCGCCCCGGATTGATCTCGCTTGATTCGAAAAATCCACTTCACCTGATCGACCTCTTGTCGCTAGGAATATCTACAAGAGTCCATGTCTTGTGCTGAGCGAGCGACTTGATCTCGCTCTTCTTGGCACGCATCCAGTCTTTCAAGTGCTTGCTTCTTAGCTCTTGATCGTATGTCGACGCACTCTAGCCGTCATCATCTGCGCTAAGGCAGTATTGTGCGTCGTAGCCATCTTCATAGTCATCAAGATTAAATACACCGCGCTGCAGGTTTGGAAACTCTTGCTCGTAGCGAGTAACCGCCTGTTTCTTGAGCACTGGACGCACATGTGGCTCTGTTTCACCGTCACGCCCCGGTGTACTCGATTGTCGCGTTGGGACGGAACCAGAATGTCGTTCGGTCGGTCCCGTGTTGACATGGGTGACACTTGGACTTCCGGGTGTTGGGGTGTGAATTTCATCATCCATTGCTGCGTCTGTAGGCTCTTGTACATAATCTTCGTCATCCAAAAGTCGATCACATCGGGTGTGATGCTTCTGCTTGCTTTTACTATCGCATGCTCGGCGGAAGTCGCGCTGCGAGATATCACCACATCCCCTGTGCTTGCATTTGGAAGTCGATAGGTCTTGTGCTGTTTAGAGTAGCCGAGTAGCAAACAGCGCACACCTGAGTCGTCTAACTTGGCTCTCTTTGCCTTGGCCACGTGCGCGTAGCATAGACTACCAAACACCCGCATAGAATCGATCCGTGGCTTGCGCTTATACAAAACTTCGAACGGACTTGCCTTCAGACTTGACGCATGATATACTGGTTGAATTCCTAGGTTGTCGTGAGCGTTTAGAAGAAGTTACTTGTGGTTGAAGCAGTAAAACCAAAAGTGAATAGCATTGTGTGTTTACCTCATCCTACCGTTAGTCTCATTCTTGCTACCATTAGATCTTCTGCGCTTCGTCTCCAGTCGTCTCAGCTGCCCAATCACGATTCGCAGTTTCACCTGCAGACCGGTCAATTCTAATTGACCAATCACACGTCGTTGTCATGCCCCTGTCGCAAAAGTAGGGGACGTCACTATCTGGCAGGACAGTGCTGGCAAACCCTAGATACCAGGACCCGAAGGCTTCACTTTGTAGCTTGTCCCCACCGGAACCAGTGACCTCTGGGATAACGCTGCCACGCCTTCCCGACTGAGAAACTGGACGTTTTCAAATCACCATGCAACTTTTCTACCGTACTTGTACTAACTTCTAACGCAATAACACACCTGAAGATAAATGAACTTTCCATGCAACTGCACAAGAAGCATCACCTACCACCAACACTCTCCCTTGATGCGCATGTGCTTCTTTGCTTGCGCCTAAGTTTCAAGATGAAGACCTTTGAGAAACTTCTCATGTTTGACACGCCCGAGCTCTTTCGTTAAGCCGTCTGCAACCATTTGATCCGTAGGCACATACTCGAGCTCAATGACATCTTCCACAACCTTTTTCGCGAAGAAAATGAAATTTGATGTCGATGTGTTTTTTTCTTGAGTGAAACACCGGGTTCTTTGACAGGGTAATGCAGCCTTGGTTATCTTCATAGATTGTCGTTCCCGCTTCTGGTACAATACCCCTATTCGAAAGCAGCAAATGCAGCCATACCGCCTCTTGTGTCGCAGAGTACGACGCCATGTACTCTGCCTCGGTGCTTGACGTTGCCACCGTCGGCTGCCGCTTCGACTTCCATGAAACCACACTGTTGTTTATGAAGAATACGTAGCCCGTTGTCGAGCGACGCGAATCCAAATCACTCGCCCATGACACATCCGCGAAGCCTAGCGGTTCGTGCTTGTTGTTGCCATCGAACACGATGCTGAAGTCCGCGGTCATCTTCAGGTACTTTAGCACTCGCTTTGCTGCTGTCCAGAGCTGCTTTCCATTCTTCTCACAATGCCTGGCTACTTCTCCAACCGCATGCATAATATCTGGGCGGGTGCACGTGAAGACGTACATCAAAGCACCTACCAGCTCGCGGTAAGGCCACTTGGGCACACAATTTTCATCCGTCGTGAGCTTTGAAAGCTTCTAACCTTCATTAGTCGGCGTGTGCACGTCCTTGCATTTGTCGATGCCATACTTCTCTGCAAGACGCTTGATGTATCCACGTTGATTCAACCGAATTGTCTTGCTGTTAATGTCACGCTTCAGTTCAATACCAAGGCAGTACTTTAGTTCACCGAGCTCCGTCCGTCCCTTGATGCTACAGTCCGTCTTGAGTTCACGCTTGATGTCGTCGATGTGTTTTTGCGTCCGCATGAAAATCATCAAGACATCAACGTGAATGATCATGAGACTAAATTCACCCTTCGATCGGCGTAGGTAAACACAAGGATCAGCTGCTGCCTTCTTGAAGCCTTGTACTTCGAGGTGGTGGCTAAGACGATTGTTCCATTCGCGTGCTGCCTGCTTTGTGCCGTATAGTACTGTGTGCAAAAAGCACTTTTCGCACGGTGTCGCTCATCCACAAATCCGTCCGGCTGGTGCATGTAGACCTCTTCCTTAACTTCACCGTAAAGGAAGGCAGTGTCAACATCGACATCTTTAATCTTCAAATTTTCTTCAGCCGCGAGCGATAACGCGATATTGATCGACTCTTCACGAGCCACGGGATCTAAAGTGTCGAAATAGTCCACGCCGGGACGCTGTGTGAATCCCTTAGCCACGAGTCGTGCCTTGAACTTTACAATCGCCCCGGATTGCTCTCGCTTGATTCGAAAAATCCACTTCACCTGATCGACCTCTTGTCGCTAGGAATATCTACAAGAGTCCATGTCTTGTGCTGAACGAGCGACTTGATCTCGCTCTTCTTGGCACGCATCCAGTCTTTCAAGTGCTTGCTTCTTAGCTCTTGATCGTATGTCGACGCACTCTAGCGGTCATCGTCTGCGCTAAGGCAGTATTGTGCGTCGTAGCCATCTTCATAGTCATCAAGATTAAATACACCGCGCTGCAGGTTTGGAAACTCTTGCTAGTAGCGAGTAACCGCCTGTTTCTTGCGCACTGGACGCACATGTGGCTCTGGTTCACCGTCACGCCCCGGTGTACTCGATTGTCGCGTTGGGACGGAACCAGAATGTCGTTCGGTCGGTCCCGTCTTGACATGGGTGACACTTGGACTTCCGGGTGTTGGGGTGTGAATTTCATCATCCATTGCTGCGTCTGTAGGCTCTTGTACATAATCTTCGTCATCCAAAAGTCGATCACATCGGGTGTGATGCTTCTGCTTGCTTTTACTATCGCATGCTCGGCGGAAGTCGCGCTGCGAGATATCACCACATCCCCTGTGCTTGCATTTGGAAGTCGATAGGTCTTGTGCTGTTTAGAGTAGCCGAGTAGCAAACAGCGCACACCTGAGTCGTCTAACTTGGCTCTCTTTGCCTTGGCCACGTGCGCGTAGCATAGACTACCAAACACCCGCATAGAATCGATCCGTGGCTTGCGCTTATACAAAACTTCGAACGGACTTGCCTTCAGACTTGACGCATGATATACTGGTTGAATTCCTAGGTTGTCGTGAGCGTTTAGAAGAAGTTACTTGTGGTTGAAGCAGTAAAACCAAAAGTGAATAGCATTGTGTGTTTACCTCATCCTACCGTTAGTCTCATTCTTGCTACCATTAGATCTTCTGCGCTTCGTCTCCAGTCGTCTCAGCTGCCCAATCACGATTCGCAGTTTCACCTGCAGACCGGTCAATTCTAATTGACCAATCACACGTCGTTGTCATGCCCCTGTCGCAAAAGTAGGGGACGTCACTATCTGGCAGGACAGTGCTGGCAAACCCTAGATACCAGGACCCGAAGGCTTTACTTTGTAGCTTGTCCCCACCGGAACCAGTGACCTCTGGGATAACGCTGCCACGCCTTCCCGACTGAGAAACTGGACGTTTTCAAATCACCATGCAACTTTTCTACCGTACTTGTACTAACTTCTAACGCAATAACACACCTGAAGATAAATGAACTTTCCATGCAACTGCACAAGAAGCATCACCTACCACCAACACTCTCCCTTGATGCGCATGTGCTTCTTTGCTTGCGCCTAAGTTTCAAGATGAAGACCTTTGAGAAACTTCTCATGTTTGACACGCCCGAGCTCTTTCGTTAAGCCGTCTGCAACCATTTGATCCGTAGGTACATACTCGAGCTCAATGACATCTTCCACAACCTTTTTCGCGAAGAAAATGAAATTTGATGTCGATGTGTTTTTTTCTTGAGTGAAACACCGGTTTCTTTGACAGGGTAATGCAGCCTTGGTTATCTTCATAGATTGTCGTTCCCGCTTCTGGTACAATACCAATATTCGAAAGCAGCAAACGCAGCCATACCGCCTCTTGTGTCGCAGAGTACGACGCCATGTACTCTGCCTCGGTGCTTGACGTTGCCACCGTCGGCTGCCGCTTCGACTTCCGTGAAACCACACTGTTGTTTATGAAGAATACGTAGCCCGTTGTCGAGCGACGCGAATCCAAATCACTCGCCCATGACACATCCGCGAAGCCTAGCGGTTCGTGCTTGTTGTTGCCATCGAACACGATGCTGAAGTCCGCGGTCATCTTTAGGTACTTTAGCACTCGCTTTGCTGCTGTCCAGAGCTGCTTTCCATTCTTCTTGCAATGCCTGGCTACTTCTCCAACCGCATGCATAATATCCGGGCGGGTGCACGTGAAGACGTACATCAAAGCACCTACCAGCTCGCGGTAAGGCCACTTGGGCACACAATTTTCATCCGTCGTGAGCTTTGAAAGCTTCTAACCTTCATTAGTCGGCGTGTGCACGTCCTTGCATTTGTCGATGCCATACTTCTCTGCAAGACGCTTGATGTATCCACGTTGATTCAACCGAATTGTCTTGCTGTTAATGTCACGCTTCAGTTCAATACCAAGGCAGTACTTTAGTCACCGAGCTCCGTCCGTCCCTTGATGCTACAGTCCGTCTTGAGTTCACGCTTGATGTCGTCGATGTGTTTTTGCGTCCGCATGAAAATCATCAAGACATCAACGTGAATGATCATGAGACTAAATTCACCCTTCGATCGGCGTAGGTAAACACAAGGATCAGCTGCTGCCTTCTTGAAGCCTTGTCCTTCGAGGTGGTGGCTAAGACGATTGTTCCATTCGCGCGCTGCCTGCTTTGTGCCGTATAGTACTTTGTGCAACAGACACTATTCGCACGGTGTCGCTCATCCACAAATCCGTCCGGCTGGTGCATGTAGATCTCTTCCTTAACTTTACCGTAAAGGAAGGCAGTGTCAACATCGACATCTTTAATCTTCAAATTTTCTTCAGCCGCGAGCGATAACGCGATATTGATCGACTCTTTACGAGCCACGGGATCTAAAGTGTCGAAATAGTCCACGCCGGGACGCTGTGTGAATCCCTTAGCCACGAGTCGTGCCTTGAACTTTACAATCGCCCCGGATTGCTCTCGCTTGATTCGAAAAATCCACTTCACCTGATCGACCTCTTGTCGCTAGGAATATCTACAAGAGTCCATATCTTGTGCTGAACGAGCGACTTGATCTCGCTCTTCTTGGCACGCATCCAGTCTTTCAAGTGCTTGCTTCTTAGCTCTTGATCGTATGTCGACGCACTCTAGCCGTCATCATCTGCGCTAAGGCAGTATTGTGCGTCGTAGCCAGCTTCATAGTCATCGAGATTAAATACACCGCGCTGCAGGTTTGGAAACTCTTGCTAGTAGCGAGTAACCGCCTGTTTCTTGCGCAATGGACGCACATGTGGCTCTGGTTCACCGTCACGCCCCGGTGTACTCACTTGTCGCGTTGGGACGGAGCCAGAAGGTCGTTCGGTCGGTCCCGTCTTGACATGGGTGACACTTGGACTTCCGGGTGTTGGGGTGTGAATTTCATCATCCATTGCTGCGTCTGTAGGCTCTTGTACATAATCACGTGAATGATCATGAGACTAAATTCACCCTTCGATCGGCGTAGGTAAACACAAGGATCAGCTGCTGCCTTCTTGAAGCCTTGTCCTTCGAGGTGGTGGCTAAGACGATTGTTCCATTCGCGCGCTGCCTGCTTTGTGCCGTATAGTACTTTGTGCAACAGACACTATTCGCACGGTGTCGCTCATCCACAAATCCGTCCGGCTGGTGCATGTAGATCTCTTCCTTAACTTCACCGTAAAGGAAGGCAGTGTCAACATCGACATCTTTAATCTTCAAATTTTCTTCAGCCGCGAGCGATAACGCGATATTGATCGACTCTTTACGAGCCACGGGATCTAAAGTGTCGAAATAGTCCACGCCGGGACGCTGTGTGAATCCCTTAGCCACGAGTCGTGCCTTGAACTTTACAATCGCCCCGGATTGCTCTCGCTTGATTCGAAAAATCCACTTCACCTGATCGACCTCTTGTCGCTAGGAATATCTACAAGAGTCCATGTCTTGTGCTGAACGAGCGACTTGATCTCGCTCTTCTTGGCACGCATCCAGTCTTTCAAGTGCTTGCTTCTTAGCTCTTGATCGTATGTCGACGCACTCTAGCCGTCATCATCTGCGCTAAGGCAGTATTGTGCGTCGTAGCCAGCTTCATAGTCATCGAGATTAAATACACCGCGCTGCAGGGTTTGGAAACTCTTGCTAGTAGCGAGTAACCGCCTGTTTCTTTCGCACTGGACGCACATGTGGCTCTGGTTCACCGTCACGCCCCGGTGTACTCGATTGTCGCGTTGGGACGGATCCAGAAGGTCGTTCGGTCGGTCCCGTCTTGAGATGGGTGACACTTGGACTTCCGGGTGTTGGGGTGTGAATTTCATCATCCATTGCTGCGTCTGTAGGCTCTTGTACATAATCACGTGAAAGATCATGAGACTAAATTCACCCTTCGATCGGCGTAGGTAAACACAAGGATCAGCTGCTGCCTTCTTGAAGCCTTGTCCTTCGAGGTGGCGGCTAAGACGATTGTTCCATTCGCTTGCTGCCTGCTTTGTGCCGTATAGTACTGTGTGCAAAAAGCACTTTTCGCACGGTGTCGCTCATCCACAAATCCGTCCGGCTGGTGCATGTAGATCTCTTCCTTAACTTCACCGTAAAGGAAGGCAGTGTCAACATCGACATCTTTAATCTTCAAATTTTCTTCAGCCGCGAGCGATAACGCGATATTGATCGACTCTTTACGAGCCACGGGATCTAAAGTGTCGAAATAGTCCACGCCGGGACGCTGTGTGAATCCCTTAGCCACGAGTCGTGCCTTGAACTTTACAATCGCCCCGGATTGCTCTCGCTTGATTCGAAAAATCCACTTCACCTGATCGACCTCTTGTCGCTAGGAATATCTACAAGAGTCCATGTCTTGTGCTGAACGAGCGACTTGATCTCGCTCTTCTTGGCACGCATCCAGTCTTTCAAGTGCTTGCTTCTTAGCTCTTGATCGTATGTCGACGCACTCTAGCCGTCATCATCTGCGCTAAGGCAGTATTGTGCGTCGTAGCCATCTTCATAGTCGTCGAGATTAAATACACCGCGCTGCAAGTTTGGAAACTCTTGCTAGTAGCGAGTAACCGCCTGTTTCTTTCGCACTGGACGCACATGTGGCTCTGGTTCACCGTCACGCCCCGGTGTACTCGATTGTCGCGTTGGGACGGATCCAGAAGGTCGTTCGGTCGGTCCCGTCTTGAGATGGGTGACACTTGGACTTCCGGGTGTTGGGGTGTGAATTTCATCATCCATTGCTGCGTCTGTAGGCTCTTGTACATAATCACGTGAAAGATCATGAGACTAAATTCACCCTTCGATCGGCGTAGGTAAACACAAGGATCAGCTGCTGCCTTCTTGAAGCCTTGTCCTTCGAGGTGGCGGCTAAGACGATTGTTCCATTCGCTTGCTGCCTGCTTTGTGCCGTATAGTACTGTGTGCAAAAAGCACTTTTCGCACGGTGTCGCTCATCCACAAATCCGTCCGGCTGGTGCATGTAGATCTCTTCCTTAACTTCACCGTAAAGGAAGGCAGTGTCAACATCGACATCTTTAATCTTCAAATTTTCTTCAGCCGCGAGCGATAACGCGATATTGATCGACTCTTTACGAGCCACGGGATCTAAAGTGTCGAAATAGTCCACGCCGGGACGCTGTGTGAATCCCTTAGCCACGAGTCGTGCCTTGAACTTTACAATCGCCCCGGATTGCTCTCGCTTGATTCGAAAAATCCACTTCACCTGATCGACCTCTTGTCACTAGGAATATCTACAAGAGTCCATGTCTTGTGCTGAACGAGCGACTTGATCTCGCTCTTCTTGGCACGCATCCAGTCTTTCAAGTGCTTGCTTCTTAGCTCTTGATCGTATGTCGACGCACTCTAGCCGTCATCATCTGCGCTAAGGCAGTATTGTGCGTCGTAGCCAGCTTCATAGTCATCGAGATTAAATACACCGCGCTGCAGGGTTTGGAAACTCTTGCTAGTAGCGAGTAACCGCCTGTTTCTTTCGCACTGGACGCACATGTGGCTCTGGTTCACCGTCACGCCCCGGTGTACTCGATTGTCGCGTTGGGACGGAGCCAGAAGGTCGTTCGGTCGGTCCCGTCTTGACATGGGTGACACTTGGACTTCCGGGTGTTGGGGTGTGAATTTCATCATCCATTGCTGCGTCTGTAGGCTCTTGTACATAATCACGTGAATGATCATGAGACTAAATTCACCCTTCGATCGGCGTAGGTAAACACAAGGATCAGCTGCTGCCTTCTTGAAGCCTTGTCCTTCGAGGTGGTGGCTAAGACGATTGTTCCATTCGCGCGCTGCCTGCTTTGTGCCGTATAGTACTTTGTGCAAAAGGCACTTTTCGCACGGTGTCGCTCATCCACAAATCCGTCCGGCTGGTGCATGTAGATCTCTTCCTTAACTTCACCGTAAAGGAAGGCAGTGTCAACATCGACATCTTTAATCTTCAAATTTTCTTCAGCCGCGAGCGATAACGCGATATTGATCGACTCTTTACGAGCCACGGGATCTAAAGTGTCGAAATAGTCCACGCCGGGACGCTGTGTGAATCCCTTAGCCACGAGTCGTGCCTTGAACTTTACAATCGCCCCGGATTGCTCTCGCTTGATTCGAAAAATCCACTTCACCTGATCGACCTCTTGTCGCTAGGAATATCTACAAGAGTCCATGTCTTGTGCTGAACGAGCGACTTGATCTCGCTCTTCTTGGCACGCATCCAGTCTTTCAAGTGCTTGCTTCTTAGCTCTTGATCGTATGTCGACGCACTCTAGCCGTCATCATCTGCGCTAAGGCAGTATTGTGCGTCGTAGCCAGCTTCATAGTCATCGAGATTAAATACACCGCGCTGCAGGGTTTGGAAACTCCTGCTCGTAGCGAGTAACCGCCTGTTTCTTTCGCACTGGACGCACATGTGGCTCTGGTTCACCGTCACGCCCCGGTGTACTCGATTGTCGCGTTGGGACGGATCCAGAAGGTCGTTCGGTCGGTCCCGTGTTGACATGGGTGACACTTGGACTTCCGGGTGTTGGGGTGTGAATTTCATCATCCATTGCTGCGTCTGTAGGCTCTTGCACATAATCTTCGTCATCCAAAAGTCGATCCCATCGGGTGTGATGTTTCTGCTTGCTTTTACTATCGCATGCTCGGCGGAAGTCGCGCTGCGAGATATCACCACATCCCCTGTGCTTGCATTTAGAAGTCGATAGGTCTTGTGCTGTTTAGAGTAGCCGAGTAGCAAACAGCGCACACCTGAGTCGTCTAACTTGGCTCTCTTTGCCTTGGCCACGTGCGCGTAGCATAGACTACCAAACAACCGCATAGAATCGATCCGTGGCTTGCGCTTGAACAAAACTTCGAACGGACTTGCCTTCAGACTTGACGCATGATATACTGGTTGAATTCCTAGGTTGTCGTGAGCGTTTAGAAGAAGTTACTTGTGGTTGAAGCAGTAAAACCAAAAGTGAATAGCATTGTGTGTTTACCTCATCCTACCGTTAGTCTCATTCTTGCTACCATTAGATCTTCTGCGCTTCGTCTCCAGTCGTCTCAGCTGCCCAATCACGATTCGCAGTTTCACCTGCAGACCGGTCAATTCTAATTGACCATCTCACGTCGTTGTCATGCCCCTGTCGCAAAAGTAGGGGACGTCACTATCTGGCAGGACAGTGCTGGCAAACCCTAGATACCAGGACCCGAAGGCTTTACTTTGTAGCTTGTCCCCACCGGAACCAGTGACCTCTGGGATAAAGCTGCCACGCCTTCCCGACAGAGAAACTGGATGTTTTCAAATCACCATGCAACTTTTCTACCGTACTTGTACTAACTTCTAACGCAATAACACACCTGAATATAAATGAACTTTCCATGCAACTGCACAAGAAGCATCACCTACCACCAACACTCTCCCTTGATGCGCATGTTCTTCTTTGCTTGCGCCTAAGTTTCAAGATGAAGACCTTTGAGAAACTTCTCATGTTTGACACGCCCGAGCTCTTTCGTTAAGCCGTCTGCAACCATTTGATCCGTAGGTACATACTCGAGCTCAATGACATCTTCCACAACCTTTTTCGCGAAGAAAATGAAATTTGATGTCGATGTGTTTTTTTCTTGAGTGAAACACCGGGTTCTTTGACAGGGTAATGCAGCCTTGGTTATCTTCATAGATTGTCGTTCCCGCTTCTGGTACAATACCCCTATTCGAAAGCAGCAAATGCAGCCATACCGCCTCTTGTGTCGCAGAGTACAACGCCATGTACTCTGCCTCGGTGCTTGACGTTGCCACCGTCGGCTGCCGCTTCGACTTCCGTGAAACCACACTGTTGTTTATGAAGAATACGTAGCCCGTTGTTGAGCGACGCGAATCCAAATCACTCGCCCATGACACATCCGCGAAGCCTAGCGGTTCGTGCTTGTTGTTGCCATCGAACACGATGCTGAAGTCCGCGGTCATCTTCAGGTACTTTAGCACTCACTTTGCTGCTGTCCAGAGCTGCTTTCCATTCTTCTTGCAATGCCTGGCTACTTCTCCAACCGCATGCATAATATCCGGGCGGGTGCACGTGAAGACGTACATCAAAGCACCTACCAGCTCGCGGTAAGGCCACTTGGGCACACAATTTTCATCCGTCGTGAGCTTTGAAAGCTTCTAACCCTCATTAGTCGGCGTGTGCACGTCCTTGCATTTGTCGATGCCATACTTCTCTGCAAGACGCTTGATGTATCCACGTTGATTCAACCGAATTGTCTTGCTGTTAATTTCACGCTTCAGTTCAATACCAAGGCAGTACTTTAGTTCATCGAGCTTCGTCCGTCCCTTGATGCTACAGTCCGTCTTGAGTTCACGCTTGATGTCGTCGATGTGTTTTTGCGTCCGCGCGAAAATCATCAAGACATCAACGTGAATGATCATGAGACTAAATTCACCCTTCGATCGGCGTAGGTAAACACAAGGATCAGCTGCTGCCTTCTTGAAGCCTTGTCCTTCGAGGTGGTGGCTAAGACGATTGTTCCATTCGCTTGCTGCCTGCTTTGTGCCGTATAGTACTTTGTGCAACAGACACTTTTCGCACGGTGTCGCTCATCCACAAATCCGTCCGGCTGGTGCATGTAGATCTCTTCCTTAACTTCACCGTAAAGGAAGGCAGTGTCAACATCGACATCTTTAATCTTCAAATTTTCTTCAGCCGCGAGCGATAACGCGATATTGATCGACTCTTTACGAGCCACGGGATCTAAAGTGTCGAAATAGTCCACGCCGGGACGCTGTGTGAATCCCTTAGCCACGAGTCGTGCCTTGAACTTTACAATCGCCCCGGATTGCTCTCGCTTGATTCGAAAAATCCACTTCACCTGATCGACCTCTTGTCACTAGGAATATCTACAAGAGTCCATGTCTTGTGCTGAACGAGCGACTTGATCTCGCTCTTCTTGGCACGCATCCAGTCTTTCAAGTGCTTGCTTCTTAGCTCTTGATCGTATGTCGACGCACTCTAGCCGTCATCATCTGCGCTAAGGCAGTATTGTGCGTCGTAGCCATCTTCATAGTCATCGAGATTAAATACACCGCGCTGCAGGGTTTGGAAACTCTTGCTAGTAGCGAGTAACCGCCTGTTTCTTGCGCACTGGACGCACATGTGGCTCTGGTTCACCGTCACGCCCCGGTGTACTCGATTGTCGCGTTGGGACGGAGCCAGAAGGTCGTTCGGTCGGTCCCGTCTTGACATGGGTGACACTTGGACTTCCGGGTGTTGGGGTGTGAATTTCATCATCCATTGCTGCGTCTGTAGGCTCTTGTACATAATCACGTGAATGATCATGAGACTAAATTCACCCTTCGATCGGCGTAGGTAAACACAAGGATCAGCTGCTGCCTTCTTGAAGCCTTGTCCTTCGAGGTGGTGGCTAAGACGATTGTTCCATTCGCTTGCTGCCTGCTTTGTGCCGTATAGTACTTTGTGCAACAGACACTTTTCGCACGGTGTCGCTCATCCACAAATCCGTCCGGCTGGTGCATGTAGATCTCTTCCTTAACTTCACCGTAAAGGAAGGCAGTGTCAACATCGACATCTTTAATCTTCAAATTTTCTTCAGCCGCGAGCGATAACGCGATATTGATCGACTCTTTACGAGCCACGGGATCTAAAGTGTCGAAATAGTCCACGCCGGGACGCTGTGTGAATCCCTTAGCCACGAGTCGTGCCTTGAACTTTACAATCGCCCCGGATTGCTCTCGCTTGATTCGAAAAATCCACTTCACCTGATCGACCTCTTGTCGCTAGGAATATCTACAAGAGTCCATGTCTTGTGCTGAACGAGCGACTTGATCTCGCTCTTCTTGGCACGCATCCAGTCTTTCAAGTGCTTGCTTCTTAGCTCTTGATCGTATGTCGACGCACTCTAGCCGTCATCATCTGCGCTAAGGCAGTATTGTGCGTCGTAGCCATCTTCATAGTCGTCGAGATTAAATACACCGCGCTGCAAGTTTGGAAACTCTTGCTCGTAGCGAGTAACCGCCTGTTTCTTTCGCACTGGACGCACATGTGGCTCTGGTTCACCGTCACGCCCCGGTGTACTCGATTGTCGCGTTGGGACGGATCCAGAAGGTCGTTCGGTCGGTCCCGTCTTGACATGGGTGACACTTGGACTTCCGGGTGTTGGGGTGTGAATTTCATCATCCATTGCTGCGTCTGTAGGCTCTTGTACATAATCTTCGTCATCCAAAAGTCGATCACATCGGGTGTGATGTTTCTGCTTGCTTTTACTATCGCATGCTCGGCGGAAGTCGCGCTGCGAGATATCACCACATCCCCTGTGCTTGCATTTAGAAGTCGATAGGTCTTGTGCTGTTTAGAGTAGCCGAGTAGCAAACAGCGCACACCTGAGTCGTCTAACTTGGCTCTCTTTGCCTTGGCCACGTGCGCGTAGCATAGACTACCAAACAACCGCATAGAATCGATCCGTGGCTTGCGCTTGAACAAAATTTCGAACGGACTTGCCTTCAGACTTGACGCATGATATACTGGTTGAATTCCTAGGTTGTCGTGAGCGTTTAGAAGAAGTTACTTGTGGTTGAAGCAGTAAAACCAAAAGTGAATAGCATTGTGTGTTTACCTCATCCTACCGTTAGTCTCATTCTTGCTACCATTAGATCTTCTGCGCTTCGTCTCCAGTCGTCTCAGCTGCCCAATCATGATTCGCAGTTTCACCTGCAGACCGGTCAATTCTAATTGACCATCTCACGTCGTTGTCATGCCCTTGTCGCAAAAGTAGGGGACGTCACTATCTGGCAGGACAGTGCTGGCAAACCCTAGATACCAGGACCCGAAGGCTTTACTTTGTAGCTTGTCCCCACCGGAACCAGTGACCTCTGGGATAACGCTGCCACGCCTTCCCGACTGAGAAACTGGACGTTTTCAAATCACCATGCAACTTTTCTACCGTACTTGTACTAACTTCTAACGCAATGACACACCTGAATATAAATGAACTTTCCATGCAACTGCACAAGAAGCATCACCTACCACCAACACTCTCCCTTGATGCGCATGTGCTTCTTTGCTTGCGCCTAAGTTTCGAGATGAAGACCTTTGAGAAACTTCTCATGTTTGACACGCCCGAGCTCTTTCGTTAAGCCGTCTGCAACCATTTGATCCGTAGGTACATACTCGAGCTCAATGACATCTTCCACAACCTTTTTCGCGAAGAAAATGAAATTTGATGTCGATGTGTTTTTTTCTTGAGTGAAACACCGGGTTCTTTGACAGGGTAATGCAGCCTTGGTTATCTTCATAGATTGTCGTTCCCGCTTCTGGTACAATACCCCTATTCGAAAGCAGCAAATGCAGCCATACCGCCTCTTGTGTCGCAGAGTACAACGCCATGTACTCTGCCTCGGTGCTTGACGTTGCCACCGTCGGCTGCCGCTTCGACTTCCGTGAAACCACACTGTTGTTTATGAAGAATACGTAGCCCGTTGTTGAGCGACGCGAATCCAAATCACTCGCCCATGACACATCCGCGAAGCCTAGCGGTTCGTGCTTGTTGTTGCCATCGAACACGATGCTGAAGTCCGCGGTCATCTTCAGGTACTTTAGCACTCACTTTGCTGCTGTCCAGAGCTGCTTTCCATTCTTCTTGCAATGCCTGGCTACTTCTCCAACCGCATGCATAATATCCGGGCGGGTGCACGTGAAGACGTACATCAAAGCACCTACCAGCTCGCGGTAAGGCCACTTGGGCACACAATTTTCATCCGTCGTGAGCTTTGAAAGCTTCTAACCCTCATTAGTCGGCGTGTGCACGTCCTTGCATTTGTCGATGCCATACTTCTCTGCAAGACGCTTGATGTATCCACGTTGATTCAACCGAATTGTCTTGCTGTTAATTTCACGCTTCAGTTCAATACCAAGGCAGTACTTTAGTTCACCGAGCTTCGTCCGTCCCTTGATGCTACAGTCCGTCTTGAGTTCACGCTTGATGTCGTCGATGTGTTTTTGCGTCCGCGCGAAAATCATCAAGACATCAACGTGAATGATCATGAGACTAAATTCACCCTTCGATCGGCGTAGGTAAACACAAGGATCAGCTGCTGCCTTCTTGAAGCCTTGTCCTTCGAGGTGGTGGCTAAGACGATTGTTCCATTCGCGCGCTGCCTGCTTTGTGCCGTATAGTACTTTGTGCAAAAGGCACTTTTCGCACGGTGTCGCTCATCCACAAATCCGTCCGGCTGGTGCATGTAGATCTCTTCCTTAACTTTACCGTAAAGGAAGGCAGTGTCAACATCGACATCTTTAATCTTCAAATTTTCTTCAGCCGCGAGCGATAACGCGATATTGATCGACTCTTTACGAGCCACGGGATCTAAAGTGTCGAAATAGTCCACGCCGGGACGCTGTGTGAATCCCTTAGCCACGAGTCGTGCCTTGAACTTTACAATCGCCCCGGATTGCTCTCGCTTGATTCGAAAAATCCACTTCACCTGATCGACCTCTTGTCGCTAGGAATATCTACAAGAGTCCATGTCTTGTGCTGAACGAGCGACTTGATCTCGCTCTTCTTGGCACGCATCCAGTCTTTCTTGTGCTTGCTCCTTAGCTCTTGATCGTATGTCGACGCACTCTAGCCGTCATCATCTGCGCTAAGGCAGTATTGTGCGTCGTAGCCATCTTCATAGTCATCGAGATTAAATACACCGCGCTGCAGGTTTGGAAACTCTTGCTCGTAGCGAGTAACCGCCTGTTTCTTGCGCACTGGACGCACATGTGGCTCTGTTTCACCGTCACGCCCCGGTGCACTCGATTGTCGCGTTGGGACGGATCCAGAAGGTCGTTCGGTCGGTCCCGTGTTGACATGGGTGACACTTGGACTTCCGGGTGTTGGGGTGTGAATTTCATCATCCATTGCTGCGTCTGTAGGCTCTTGTACATAATCTTCGTCATCCAAAAGTCGATCACATCGGGTGTGATGTTTCTGCTTGCTTTTACTATCGCATGCTCGGCGGAAGTCGCGCTGCGAGATATCACCACATCCCCTGTGCTTGCATTTAGAAGTCGATAGGTCTTGTGCTGTTTAGAGTAGCCGAGTAGCAAACAGAGCACACCTGAGTCGTCTAACTTGGCTCTCTTTGCCTTGGCCACGTGCGCGTAGCATAGACTACCAAACACCCGCATAGAATCGATCTGTGGCTTGCGCTTGAACAAAATTTCGAACGGACTTGCCTTCAGACTTGACGCATGATATACTGGTTGAATTCCTAGGTTGTCGTGAGCGTTTAGAAGAAGTTGCTTGTGGTCGAAGCAGTAAAACCAAAAGTGAATAGCATTGTGTGTTTACCTCATCCTACCGTTAGTCTCATTCTTGCTACCATTAGATCTTCTGCGCTTCGTCTCCAGTCGTCTCAGCTGCCCAATCACGATTCGCAGTTTCACCTGCAGACCGGTCAATTCTAATTGACCAATCACACGTCGTTGTCATGCCCCTGTCGCAAAAGTAGGGGACGTCACTATCTGGCAGGACAGTGCTGGCAAACCCTAGATACCAGGACCCGAAGGCTTCACTTCGTAGCTTGTCCCCACCGGAATCAGTGACCTCTGGGATAACGCTGCCACGCCTTCCCGACTGAGAAACTGGACGTTTTCAAATCACCATGCAACTTTTCTACCGTACTTGTACTAACTTCTAACGCTAATAAAACTCCTGAAGATAAATGAACTTTCCATGCAACTGCACAAGAAGCATCACCTACCACCAAAACACATCACGCTTACCTTGTTTTAGCCTTAAGAGTGCAGAGCGTGTTCTGAACTTGGCTCTCGGCGGCTCAAACGTCTCTTTGAGCCAATACTTACAAATCGTTAACGCCTTAAACACGTTTGGGTGGTGAAACTTGAGCCCTAAGGCCCAAGTCTTTGCTCGTCCCGTCAAATTTGACAGGGTAAAGGTAACTTGCATCTCGTCATCATCGGTGTGACGGGCCCTGTTGGCGTCGTCTGACTCGACGAACCATTTTAAAAAGTACCCTTCATCGGTTCCCTTGTTTCTTGAGATATCAATTTTCAAGGTTTTGGGTTGACGCGCGGGCGTCGGCCCGCCCATCGACTGATGAAAGCCTTGCTGTTGTGGCAAGGCTATCTTCTGTCTTTCGACGGCAAGTTCCCCTTGTAGGAACTTGTTGATAGCGGCATGTTGCTGGTATCTGCTTAGAGACTCCAACATGCCACTGATGGCGGCTTCGCACGTGAGCACACTCATGCGGCCGACTACCTCCCATTCTGAGTCACTCAGATGAGAGTAGCCTCACGTGTGACGTGAAAGCTGTTGTCTTCTACGTTTAAATGAACAGTAGTCGTTGGACGGACTACGAAGTGCTACCAGGTGTAACGGGCACCCTTCGTTTGGGTGCCACGAAACTTCACGTACACAAGTACGTGCAGAGGAAGCTGATCTACTTGAACGACTCGGTCAAGTAAAGATTAAAAGAGAACTGTATTTAATATAGTTAAGCTATCAACATAACTTTAATCTTTATCTAACTATCTAAACTACGTCAAAATAACTTTAATCTTTATCTAACTATCTAAAGTACGTCAAAATAACTTTAATCTTTATCTGACTATTTAAACTACGTCGTATGACGACTACCAATTCACCACTTATTGCGCGCGTCCACTAGCGATTGGTGGCAATCTATGGTTGACATGCCTTTGATCAACCAATCTTTCATCAGCGCATGAATATCATTAAAGAAGGATTAAACTCCTTCACTACTATCCATCTCGAATAATATTGGTAGGATATTGTCATGCTAGACAATATCTGTAACGGGGTGAATCGTTACATTACAATTTATAAGAAATTGTTAATAAAATATAACTATAAGAGTTATATTCTCAGAATATTGTCATAAGGAAAAATATTCTGTAGCACTTACGAGTAGTTCCTAATTGGTTGAAATAGGCCATTATATCAACCAACGAAGACGCGCCACGACAGACGCACGCAATGAGTGGTGAGCAGATAGTTGATTTACACATTTGTATTTAGACATAGTTAGATGAAGATAAATAGTGATTTATTGCAGACATTAACTATTATAAATACAGTTCTACTTTTTACTTTAACCAAGTACTCTCTTCTTCTTACCGTCTTCCTCTGCACGTACGAGTGTACGTGAAGTTACGAGGCACCGCCTTATTCTGTTATCAGAATAAGTAGCTTGTACTGTCACCAGTACAAGCTTCAGGGTGCCCCGTTACACCTGGTAGCACTTCGTAGTCCGTCCAAGGACCACGTTCACATCCAATATGAATATGTTGGATGATGAAGATGACCAAAGCTTTCACGCTACGCGTGACGGCTACTCCCATTTGGGCGATGTCGAATGGGATGCGGTTGAACGAATGGGTTCAACCATGGGCATCCATGCTGTTAGCGTCATGCTAGAGGCTCTCAATAGAGATGCCCAACACGCTACTATCGCCAACTTCATTCAAAATGAACTTGAAGCAGAACGCGAGAAAGTAGCCTTGCTTCACCAATAAGGTTCTCAACAAGCAGAGTTGTTAAGAGAACAGGGTGCTCAACAGTTTGAACTGTTGAGACAGCAGCAGGCTGCTGCTGGTGGGTCGATGCACTCGCGTCGACCCGAAACCTTGAAGATTGACATCTCCAAGTATAGGGGGGTCGAAGAAGACTCCCTCTTGAGATGGTTCGTCGAATTGGATGACGCCATAAGGGCGCGTCGCATCGACGACGGGGTTTGCAAGTTGCATTTGCCCAGTCAAATCTGGCAGGACGTGCCAAGACTTGGGCACTGGGGCTTAAGTTGCACGACCCATATGCGTTCGGGTCGTTGGAAGTCTTCAAGTCGCGGCTCAGACAAACGTTTGAACCGCCTAGGGCTGAGCTCAGATCTCGAACCGAACTCTTGAAGCTCAAGCAGGGTAAGCGTGATGTGCACGCTTACGCTCAACATATACGACATCTCACGAGTTGTATAAGTTCCAATCCGGTGGATGAACACACGTTGGTTTCGGTGTTCATGCAGGGTCTTGCGGATGGTCCCGTCAAGACTCACCTGTTCCGGCTTGAACTAGATTCACTAGAGCAAGCCATTTCCATTGCGGAACAGGAAGACTTCAGTCTGAGACAGGCTCGCGCCAGCTCGACATCATATCGTCAACCGAGACGATATGACAACGGAGGTCCAGAGCCGATGGAACTCTGTTATGTAGAGAGCGAGAAGTCTCGCTCTACAGGCTACAAGAGGTTGCAGAGATGCAACAGATGTCAAAAGACAGGACACTACGCTTACGAGTGTAGTGCCCCTCGTCCAGTGTCTCGCGACACTGGGCGTAGTGACCGTCCACCCATGAGAAAGGGGCAGGGACGAGGGTCCGCAGTTGGTGCAAAGACGCAACAACGGGATGGACCGTCAAAAAACGGACAGGATCAGTAGGTGCGGAGCAACCTACTGATCCAGCAACGTCAAGAGAATTTGTAGGCCTCTTGATGAAGGATGCTCCCAACACACAAACGTTGTGCGTTGCTGCTCTAGGTAATGAGGTCTCACTCATTACCTTGAAACTCGAAGAGACAAATAAATTGTCCCTTCGAGCTCTAGTCGATTGTGGAGCGTCCAACAATTTTGTGCGACGCCAATCGCTAGAAGATGGTCACTTTAAGTTCAGTGAATGTGACACACCTCCTACGAGGATGACGGTACGTCTTGCGACAGGCGCATCCGTAACCGTCATGAAGCGTATAGTGAAGATCCACTATACGCTAAAAGATACCCAATATGACGATGACTTTATCGTATTGGATTTGGATGACAAATTTGATGTTATTTTTTGGAATACCGTGGCTCAGAAGGTACGAACCACGGGTAAACTGGCAACATCGGACAGTAACGATGCCTGCCGCTTGTTCATCAGATGGCCATCTGATGAACGTTTTGAAGCGTCCACAAGCGTGTGGATGTACTACGAGTGAGTGCGATGGCCTCACTTGTGGTACGGTCGTTAGTACGACTGCACAAAACCTTAGTGTACCAAACGGTTACACTTCGGAGCAAAGTTCCGGCGGCTGTGAGGAAACACAGGCTGCGCCAAAGGTCCACCACTCGAATAAGTTGGGTGGACTGGGACAAAGATGTATCCCTAGCGGGGAACATCTAGAAGAGAAACGATCGATCGCTCAGGTTAAGCGAAACGATAATCCTAGATCGACTGGAGAGTCTTTCGTAGAGGATCTCGCTGTGGTTGCGCAACCCCATCTAGAGGAAGTAAAGGGAATAAGTCCCAAGATTAAAAATACGGCGGAAATAAGTTCCCCGAAACCCGCGGGAATAAGTCCCCGGGAAGCCGAAGGAATAAGTCCTTCGAAGCCTGAGGGAATAAGTCCCCAGGAAATGACAGATACGTTGAATGTCATAGTCAATAACGGATCAAGTGTAGGCGCTTATACACTTGATCTGATTGCGCCTCCGAAGTTAACTTCGGAGATCACTCAGTTGCCAACGCTCGAACATAAAAGGTTATTGCGTGATCTGCGTAGTGGCAAAGTCAAGCAGATCTGCGTACTCGTCGCTGACGACGAGTGTGTAACCGACATAAGGTCAGCAACCGTGTTTACTGAGAGCGAGAGAGTTCTCAGTAGTTCATCTATGGACGAGAGTGTCCTAGATGAAAAGACACGAATTGAGCGATATGACTCCCAATCGTGGGAATCGCTCAAGACAAATCCTCTCTACGAAGATTTGGTTGAATTCAAGGATGTATTCCCTGAAACTGTCCCGTGCGAATTACCGAAGGATAAAGGTATTCGACACGAGGTCGAGCTTAAACCAGGCTCGAAGTACTGTGTCATGAAGCAGTGGCCACTGCCTCGTGAACAAGTACTTGCGATCGACAAGTTCTTTGCCGATCGTTTAGCTGCGGGCCATGTGAGGGAATCAACTTCCCCACATAGCTCTCCGACCTTCTGTGTGCGAAAAGCAACAGGAGGGTGGCGGATGGTGCACGCGTTCAACAAATTGAACGCTGCAACGGTACCGGATCAGACGCCGATACCGAGGAAGGACGTAATCATTGATGGTATGTCAAAGAGTACCATCTTTTCGTCCATGGATTTGATGGATGGTTTCTATCAGATCCTTATGCGAGAACGGGATATACCCTATACCGCAGTTAGCACGCCTAGCGGCATGCTCTGGGAATGGCTAGTAATGCCACAAGGGCTCAGTAATGCCCCTGCCACGTTCAACAGATGTGTATACACATCTGTTGAGACCAGTACGAGAATTCGCGCCGAGTTATTTCGATGACGTACTCATCCATAGTCGAGCTACGGATGGAAAGTTGGACGTTGAGGTTCACAGGTACCACGTCCGACAGGTTCTTACAATCATGCGAATGATCAATTGTATGCAAACCTCAAGAAGTGTATATTTGCAGCAAGCGAAATACCACTTCTTGGGTGCATCGTTGGTAAGAACGGTGTACGTCCTGATCCCGAAAAGATCAAGGCGATCACCGACTGGCCTGTGCCGGTCGATGTCAAAGGTCTTCGAAAATTCCTTGGGCTAGCGGCGTATTTGCATAAGTATTCACGCAATTACGCCGAAATGACTGTGCACCTCTCTCGTTTGTTGAAAAAGAACGAGAGGTGGTTATGGAACGCTGAATGTCAGCGCTCCTTTGATGGTATCAAGCAGAGCTTGATACAATCCCCAGTCCTAGCAATAGCCGATCAGGACAGGCCATTTCATGTGGTCTGTGATGCCAGCGATTTCGCAATCGGCTGTGCATTAATGCAGTACGACCTTGAAGGCGTTGAACGCGTCGTCTGCTATCAGTCGCGTCAGCTGCAACCAGCTGAGCGGAACTATCCAGTGCATGACAAGGAACTCCTTGCCATGAAGTATGCACTCGCGAAGTTCAGAGTCTATCTATTAGGAGATAGACCCTTCATTGTTTACACTGACCATGCGTCATTACGCACGGCAGTGAACAGCCCGCACCTTTCACAACGAATGGCGCGGTGGTTGTCATTCTTTGCGGAATACAACTTTACGGTCGAGTACAAACCAGGACGACTCAATGTCGTCGCTGATGCACTCTCACGTCGTCCCGACTTTGAAACAGTGGCGAAACCCAACAGTGAGACAGTCACTGTTGCGGTTATGACGTCCTCAGTCCCATCTACAACGTTGTATGATGATGTGAGGCGGGCATACGCCCAAGATGGTGAGATTGTGAAGTTGTTGACACATCTCTCCCAACCATCCCGAGAATCTTTGAAACGATTGTCGCCTGCGTATCGATCTGCATCAGATCGATACACTACTCGTAACGGTTTACTGTATTATACAGCCGTTTCTGGTGACACACCACGTGTTGTCATTCCAGATGATACTGATCTGCGTTTGCGGATCATGTTCGAGCATCACGATGCTCCTATAGGAGGACATCGTGGCCGGGAGAAGACATATTTCACGGTGAGTCGAGACTTTTACTGGCCCCGCCAGTATCAGTTTGTGCGAAAGTATGTTCGCGCATGCGAAGTCTGTCAACGAGTGAAGTCAAGTCCTTCACTGCGTGCACCTTTACAGCCTCTACCGGTTCCGGCTGAGTGCTGGGAATCCATCTCAATGGATTTCGTCTTCGGGTTACCCAAAGACGCACGCGGGAATACGGGTATTCTCGTATTTGTTGACAGATTCAGCAAAATGGTACACCTTGTGGCTGTACCAGAGACAATCACGGCAAGTGGCTGTGCTTGTGTCTTTATTGACACCATCTTCCGACTTCATGGGTTGCCCCGTGAACTCGTATCAGACAGAGATCCACGATCCACTGCTGATTTCTGGCGTTCCGTGTTCAAATCACTCGGAACGCGCTTGAAGATGTCGACATCTGATCATCCAGAGTCAGATGGTCAGACGGAACGTGCCAATCGTGTCCTTGAAGAGATACTTCGAGGATACGTACACTCCTTTAAGAGTTGGAGTGAGTTTTTGCCAATGGTAGAGTTTGCCATCAACAACTCGGTGCATGCGTCCACGACACATACACCGTTTTACGTGAATGGCTCACACCATCCGCGTGTACCCACCTTACTCGAGTGTAACTCTGGTTTAAGGGGGGGAGGGACTCGCGCGAGCAAAAACCGATTTGGTTCACGCTCATCACGCTCTGACGAAGAGGTCATTGCGTTTGATGCCGATATCGATGTTATCGATATTGATATCGATGTTATCGATATTGAAGAAGATGATGCCAGTGAGAGTGCGGAAGCCCTCACTGAAGAAGATGATCCCAGTGAGAGTGCGGAAGCCCTCACTGAAGAAAAGGTTGATGTTGCTGCAGTGCGCTCACAGCGCACTGAAGCTAACGAGTCATCAGATGAGTTCATACTGGCTCGTGAAACGGTAGTCCGTTTTGTGCAAGACTCCATCGCCGAAGCGGTGGATAAGCAAAAGCAAAACGCTGAAAAGAATGGAAGGGCAAACACTCTTTTATTTAATAAAGGTGACTTAGTCCTACTGTCTACGGTTAATCTACCAAAGCATGTAGTGACTAACTTGGGTAGCAGTAAACTACTACCCAAGTACATCGGCCCATTGCAAAATTTTATATTTTAGATTAAAAAAACGTTGGTTTTTTAATAAAAATAAATTTTTTATTTATTAAAAAATTGTTTAATTTTTGTAATTATATGTTTGATATCTGTAAATAATATTATTATTAATAAAATTATACTTATTGTTTTAAATACCATAAAAAATTGTTTTATATTTAAATATCTAAATTAAAATTAATTTTATTTTTTAACCAAGTTAAATAATCTTCTAATGATACTGCTTCTACTACAATAGGCATAAAACCATGATTTACTCCACAAATTTCACTACATTGTCCATAAAAACACCTTTTCTTTTAATAAACATTGAGGTTTGATTTAAACGACCTGGACATGCATCTAATTTAATACCTAAGGAAGGAATAGCCCAAGAATGTAAAACATCTGAGGCCGTAATTAGTACACGAATGTGACTATTAGTTGGAACTACTACAAGATTATCTACTTCTAAAATCCTAAATTGACCATTTCGTTAATAAAGGTGACTTAGTCCTACTGTCTACGGTTAATCTACCAAAGCATGTAGTGACTAACTTGGGTAGCAGTAAACTACTACCCAAGTACATCGGCCCATTTCGTGTATTGCACCGCCTAGGCAATGCATACACGATCGAGTTACCACGTAAGATGCGAACGCATCCCACGTTTTACGTTGGTCGGCTTAAGCCGTACCATCAGTACGCTGCTTCTTCCGATGAAGAACGCCCTTGCGCTCAAGCATCTCGCAGAGAGCCTTGTGCTCCCGATGGTGGGCATCAACAAGGGTCTGAAGAGCAGCTATCTCATCCCGAGACCGATCAGCAATCCCACGAGCTACCCTTAGCTCGTCACGAAGAGATGACAGAGATCTCTCGTTCTCAAGCTGAGCAAAGGCAAACTCAGCTCGATGCTTCGAGGCAGTGTCCGCCATTTGGAGACGCCTATTCCGCTCATGTTCGAGATCGTCGCGTAACCCTTGCGTTACGCGATCAAAGAAGCTCTCGGGAACACATGGATCCCCATGATCGTGTGGAGAGCGTCTTTCCTCCTCCTCCACCTCCATTAGAGGACTCTCGCTGTGGCCAGCGCTATCTAGTTGAGCAGCTGTTGAACCACCGCGACGTGAACGGACGTCGGACGAGTTATCTCGTCCGGTGGCGCAGCTATCCCCCGTCCTGGGATTCTTGGGAGCCCCGCTCCCAACTGATGATCGACGTACTGGGTCTGGTTGAGCAGTACGACGCGGCACATCCTGTGCCGCAGAAGGACCGCCGGAGAAAGTCTTCCCGGCACGGTTGTAAAGGGATTTCAGGTTGTCAATCCCTTCGTACATCTCAGTAGAGATACGTACGCGCCACCACGGGCTGGTAAGGAGGTAAGCCCCCTTAGGTTCTCGTGCAGAGTAGTTCACACAACATGGGCACGAGTCTCCCCATGAGAGGCAGGGTAACCCTTTCTACCTTGACAGACGATGCAGCTTGTAGCGAGCACCTGTCGGGGTTCGCTTTTCAAACTTATCACGAGCTTTGATAAGTTTGTCGTTCCAAGCGTCACGACCTACATCCTCAAGGTTATGGATGTAGGCGTTCCACGCCTGAAGCAGTGAGGGACCATCACGTTTGTGATTCCCACTGTACCATCGATTTCTAAAGAAAGCATCGATGAAGAATTCATTCTCAGCGCGATAGTTTTTCGCGCTGGGGTCAAGGTGATGGATCCTTGACGAATCGAACAATCGTGTTCGATAACGATCACTCGTCGTCGCCGACAAGTGATCCATGACGGATTTTGGAGGCATCCATGCCTTCTCCTCGGGAGCGAGACGCAACACATTGCGGTCCCGCTCTTCCTGCAACGTGCCGACAGAAGTACTGGCACCTCGCTGTGAAGTGGTGTCCATAGGAGAACCGACACCACTATTAGCGCCCGAGTCTCGCGACCTCGAGCGCCTTTGCTTCGGCGATGGTTCATCTGATTCATCAGATGAACCAAAGATGCTGCGACGCAAAGCATCGTCCATGCCACGCTTGGCAGGCGGCTTAGATTCAATCGCCGTCGATACGGATCCGTCATCCGTATCAGGAGAGTACGAGACACCGAGCTCGTACTCTGTGAAGACATGAGTGTCTTCATGACCAGCGCCTGCATCACCAAGTGACACAGGCTGGGTCGCTTCAGCAACCGATGAGACATCAGTTGCTGTGGTTTCTGCTTCGGCGTCCGCACAGAGACGTGCGGACGCGCTCTCGGCGGCCTTGCTCGCGCACCGCATGGGCTTGTTAACCATGCGATGAAATGTCGGGAAGTGGACTCGGACCAACAAGTGCAAACCCTGTCCCAAATGATTTGGGACGAGTATCCATTTAGTCAATCAGTAACTAAAGTGACTGATGGTTAAGGGGGGGTGATGTAACGGGGTGAATCGTTACATAACAATTTATAAGAAATTGTTAATAGAATATAACTATAAGAGTTTTATTCTCAGAATATTGTCATAAGGACAAATATTCTGTAGCACTTACGAGTAGTTCCTAATTGGTTGAAATAGGCCATTATATCAACCAACGAAGACGCGCCACGACAGACGCACGCAATGAGTGGTGAGCAGATAGTTGATTTACACATTTGTATTTAGACATAGTTAGATGAAGATAAATAGTGATTTATTGCAGACATTAACTATTATAAATACAGTTCTACTTTTTACTTTAACCAAGTACTCGCTTCTTCTTACCGTCTTCCTCTGCACGTACGAGTGTACGTGAAGTTACGAGGCACCGCCTTATTCTGTCATCAGAATAAGTAGCTTGTACTGTCACCAGTACAAGCTTCAGGGTGCCCCGTTACAATATCCCTATTGACACCGTTTAATGTCATTATCATGTAATGGGCTACCCCGTTACAGGCTCTTCTTTCATTGATGGATTAAGTTCTGATCGCTGTTAACAGCTCTCATCCAACTGTGTCTATTTAGAATTTAGCAGTGTAGATAATGTGACGGGGCACCCTGAAGCTTGTACTGGTGACAGTACAAGCTACTTATTCTGATGACAGAATAAGACGGTGCCTCGTAACTTCACGTACACTCGTACGTGCAGAGGAAGACGGTAAGAAGAAGCGAGAGTACTTGGTTAAAGTAAAAAGTAGAACTGTATTTATAATAGTTAATGTCTGCAATAAATCACTATTTATCTTCATCTAACTATGTCTAAATACAAATGTGTAAATCAACTATCTGCTCACCACTCATTGCGTGCGTCTGTCGTGGCGCGTCTTCGTTGGTTGATATAATGGCCTATTTCAACCAATTAGGAACTACTCGTAAGTGCTACAGAATATTTGTCCTTATGACAATATTCTGAGAATATAACCCTTATAGTTATATTCTATTAACGATTTCTTATAAACTGTTATGTAACGATTCACCCCGTTACATCACCCCCCCCTTAACCATCAGTCACTTTAGTGACTGATTGACTAAATGGATACTCGTCCCAAATCATTTGGGACAGGGTTTGCACTTGTTGGTCCGAGTCCACTTCCCGACATTTCATCGCATGGTTAACAAGCCCATGCGGTGCGCGAGCAAGGCCGCCGAGAGCGCGTCCGCACGTCTCTGTGCGGACGCCGAAGCAGAAACCACAGCAACTGATGTCTCATCGGTTGCTGAAGTGACCCAGCCTGTGTCACTTGGTGATGCAGGCGCTGGTCATGAAGACACTCATGTCTTCACAGAGTACGAGCTCGGTGTCTCGTACTCTCCTGATACGGAAGACGGATCCGTATCGACGGCGATTGAATCCAAGCCGCCTGCCAAGCGTGGCATGGACGATGCTTTGCGTCGCAGCATCTTTGGTTCATCTGATGAATCAGATGAACCATCGCCGAAGCAAAGGCGCTCGAGGTCGCGAGACTCGGGCGCTAATAGTGGTGTCGGTTCTCCTATGGACACCACTTCACAGCGAGGTGCCAGTACTTCTGTCGGCACGTTGCAGGAAGAGCGGGACCGCAATGTGTTGCGTCTCGCTCCCGAGGAGAAGGCATGGATGCCTCCAAAATCCGTCATGGATCACTTGTCGGCGACGACGAGTGATCGTTATCGAACACGATTGTTCGATTCGTCAAGGATCCATCACCTTGACCCCAGCGCGAAAAACTATCGCGCTGAGAATGAATTCTTCATCGATGCTTTCTTTAGAAATCGATGGTACAGTGGGAATCACAAACGTGATGGTCCCTCACTGCTTCAGGCGTGGAACGCCTACATCCATAACCTTGAGGATGTAGGTCGTGACGCTTGGAACGACAAACTTATCAAAGCTCGTGATAAGTTTGAAAAGCGGAACCCCGACAGGTGCTCGCTACAAGCTGCATCGTCTGTCAAGGTAGAAAGGGCTACCCTGCCTCTCTTGGGGAGACTCGTGCCCGTGTTGTGTGAACAACTCTGCACGAGCACCTAAGAAGGCTTACCTCCTTACCAGCCCGTGGTGGCGCGTACGTATCTCTACTGAGATGTACGAAGGGATTGACAACCTGAAATCCCTTTACAACCGTGCCGGGAAGACTTTCTCCGGCGGTCCTTCTGCGGCACAGGATGTGCCGCGTCGTACTGCTCAACCAGACCCAGTACGTCGATCATCAGTTGGGAGCGGGGCTCCCAAGAATCCCAGGACGGGGGATAGCCGCGCCACCGGACGAGATAACTCGTCCGACGTCCGTTCACGTCGCGGTGGTTCAACAGCTGCTCAACTAGATAGCTCTGTCCACCGCGAGAGTCCTCTAATGGAGGTGGAGGAGGAGGAAAGACGCTCTCCACACGATCATGGGGATCCACTTGATGATTTTCGCGCGGACGCAAAAACACATCGACGACATCAAGCGTGAACTCAAGACGGACTGTAGCATCAAGGGACGGACGGAGCTCGGTGAACTAAAGTACTGCCTTGGTATTGAACTGAAGCGTGAAATTAACAGCAAGATAATTCGGTTGAATCAACGTGGATACATCAAGCGTCTTGCAGAGAAGTATGGCATCGACAAATGCAAGGACTTGCACACGCCGACTAATGAAGGTTAGAAGCTTTCAAAGCTCACGACGGATGAAAATTGTGTGCCCAAGTGGCCTTACCGCGGGCTGGTAGGTGCTTTGATGTACGTCTTCACGTGCACCCGCCCGGATATTATGCATGCGGTTGGAGAAGTAGCCAGGCATTGCAAGAAGAATGGAAAGCAGCTCTGGACAGCAGCAAAGTGAGTGCTAAAGTACCTGAAGATGACCGCGGACTTCAGCATCGTGTTCGATGGCAACAACAAGCACGAACCGCTAGGCTTCGTGGATGCGTCATGGGCGAGTGATTTGGATTCGCGTCGCTCGACAACGGGCTACGTATTCTTCATAAACAACAGTGTGGTTTCATGGAAGTCGAAACGGCAGCCGACGGTGGCAACGTCAAGCACCGAGGCAGAGTACATGGCGTTGTACTCTGCGACACAAGAGGCGGTATGGCTGCGTTTGCTGCTTTCGAATATTGGTATTAGAGATTTGAGGCATTTATGAACACGAACACGTACCAGAAGCGGGAACGACAACCTATGAAGATAACCAAGGCTGCATTACCCTGTCAAAGAACCCGGTGTTTCACTCAAGAAAAAACACATCGACATCAAATTTCATTTTCTTCGCGAAAAAGGTTGTGGAAGATGTCATTGAGCTCGAGTATGTACCTACGGATCAAATGGTTGCAGACGGCTTAACGAAAGAGCTCGGGCGTGTCAAACATGAGAAGTTTCTCAAAGGTCTTCATCTCGAAACTTAGGCGCAAGCAAAGAAGCACATGCGCATCAAGGGAGAGTGTTGGTGGTAGGTGATGCTTCTTGTGCAGTTGCATGGAAAGTTCATTTATATTCAGGTGTGTTATTGCGTTAGAAGTTAGTACAAGTACGGTAGAAAAGTTGCATGGTGATTTGAAAACATCCAGTTTCTCAGTCGGGAAGGCGTGGCAGCGTTATCCCAGAGGTCACTGGTTCCGGTGGGGACAAGCTACAAAGTAAAGCCTTCGGGTCCTGGTATCTAGGGTTTGCCAGCACTGTCCTGCCAGATAGTGACGTCCCCTACTTTTGCGACAGGGGCATGACAACGACGTGAGATGGTCAATTAGAATTGACCGGTCTGCAGGTGAAACTGCGAATCGTGATTGGGCAGCTGAGACGACTGGAGACGAAGCGCAGAAGATCTAATGGTAGCAAGAATGAGACTAACGGTAGGATGAGGTAAACACACAATGCTATTCACTTTTGGTTTTACTGCTTCGACCACAAGTAACTTCTTCTAAACGCTCACGACAACCTAGGAATTCAACCAGTATATCATGCGTCAAGTCTGAAGGCAAGTCCGTTCGAAGTTTTGTTCAAGCGCAAGCCACGGATCGATTCTATGCGGGTGTTTGGTAGTCTATGCTACGCGCACGTGGCCAAGGCAAAGAGAGCCAAGTTAGACGACTCAGGTGTGCGCTGTTTGCTACTCGGCTACTCTAAACAGCACAAGACCTATCGACTTCTAAATGCAAGCACAGGGGATGTGGTGATATCTCGCAGCGCGACTTCCGCCGAGCATGCGATAGTAAAAGCAAGCAGAAACATCACACCCGATGTGATCGACTTTTGGATGACGAAGATTATGTACAAGAGCCTACAGACGCAGCAATGGATGATGAAATTCACACCCCAACACCCGGAAGTCCAAGTGTCACCCATGTCAAGACGGGACCGACCGAACGACCTTCTGGATCCGTCCCAACGCGACAATCGAGTACACCGGGGCGTGACGGTGAACCGGAGCCACATGTGCGTCCAGTGCGCAAGAAACAGGCGGTTACTCGCTACGAGCAAGAGTTTCCAAACCTGCAGCGCGGTGTATTTAATCTCGATGACTATGAAGATGGCTACGACGCACAATACTGCCTTAGCGCAGATGATGACGGCTAGAGTGCGTCGACATACGATCAAGAGCTAAGGAGCAAGCACAAGAAAGACTGGATGCGTGCCAAGAAGAGCGAGATCAAGTCGCTCGTTCAGCACAAGACATGGACTCTTGTAGATATTCCTAGCGACAAGAGGTCGATCAGGTGAAGTGGATTTTTCGAATCAAGCGAGATCAATCCGGGGCGATTGTAAAGTTCAAGGCACGACTCGTGGCTAAGGGATTCACACAGCGTCCCGGCGTGGACTATTTCGACACTTTAGATCCCGTGGCTCGTAAAGAGTCGATCAATATCGCGTTATCGCTCGCGGCTGAAGAAAATTTGAAGATTAAAGATGTCGATGTTGACACTGCCTTCCTTTACGGTAAAGTTAAGGAAGAGATCTACATGCACCAGCCGGACGGATTTGTGGATGAGCGACACCGTGCGAAAAGTGCCTTTTGCACAAAGTACTATACGGCACAAAGCAGGCAGCGCGCGAATGGAACAATCGTCTTAGCCACCACCTCGAAGGACAAGGCTTCAAGAAGGCAGCAGCTGATCCTTGTGTTTACCTACGCCGATCGAAGGGTGAATTTAGTCTCATGATCATTCACGTTGATGTCTTGATGATTTTCATGCGGACGCAAAAACACATCGACGACATCAAGCGTGAACTCAAGACGGACTGTAGCATCAAGGGACGGACGGAGCTCGGTGAACTAAAGTACTGCCTTGGTATTGAACTGAAGCGTGACATTAACAGCAAGACAATTCGGTTGAATCAACGTGGATACATCAAGCGTCTTGCAGAGAAGTATGGCATCGACAAATGCAAGGACGTGCACACGCCGACTAATGAAGGTTAGAAGCTTTCAAAGCTCACGACGGATGAAAATTGTGTGCCCAAGTGGCCTTACCGCGAGCTGGTAGGTGCTTTGATGTACGTCTTCACGTGCACCCGCCCGGATATTATGCATGCGGTTGGAGAAGTAGCCAGGCATTGCAAGAAGAATGGAAAGCAGCTCTGGACAGCAGCAAAGCGAGTGCTAAAGTACCTGAAGATGACCGCGGACTTCAGCATCGTGTTCGATGGCAACAACAAGCACGAACCGCGAGGCTTCGCGGATGTGTCATGGGCGAGTGATTTGGATTCGCGTCGCTCGACAACGGGCTACGTATTCTTCATAAACAACAGTGTGGTTTCATGGAAGTCGAAACGGCAGCCGACGGTGGCAACGTCAAGCACCGAGGCAGAGTACATGGCGTTGTACTCTGCGACACAAGAGGCGGTATGGCTGCGTTTGCTGCTTTCGAATATTGGTATTGTACCAGAAGCGGGAACGACAATCTATGAAGATAACCAAGGCTGCATTACCCTGTCAAAGAACCCGGTGTTTCACTCAAGAAAAAAACACATCGACATCAAATTTCATTTTCTTCGCGAAAAAGGTTGTGGAAGATGTCATTGAGCTCGAGTATGTACCTACGGATCAAATGGTTGCAGACGGCTTAACGAAAGAGCTCGGGCGTGTCAAACATGAGAAGTTTCTCAAAGGTCTTCATCTTGAAACTTAGGCGCAAGCAAAGAAGAACATGCGCATCAAGGGAGAGTGTTGGTGGTAGGTGATGCTTCTTGTGCAGTTGCATGGAAAGTTCATTTATATTCAGGTGTGTTATTGCGTTAGAAGTTAGTACAAGTACGGTAGAAAAGTTGCATGGTGATTTGAAAACATCCAGTTTCTCAGTCGGGAAGGCGTGGCAGCTTTATCCCAGAGGTCACTGGTTCCGGTGGGGACAAGCTACAAAGTAAAGCCTTCGGGTCCTGGTATCTAGGGTTTGCCAGCACTGTCCTGCCAGATAGTGACGTCCCCTACTTTTGCGACAGGGGCATGACAACGACGTGAGATGGTCAATTAGAATTGACCGGTCTGCAGGTGAAACTGCGAATCATGATTGGGCAGCTGAGACGACTGGAGACGAAGCGCAGAAGATCTAATGGTAGCAAGAATGAGACTAACGGTAGGATGAGGTAAACACACAATGCTATTCACTTTTGGTTTTACTGCTTCGACCACAAGTAACTTCTTCTAAACGCTCACAACAACCTAGGAATTCAACCAGTATATCATGCGTCAAGTCTGAAGGCAAGTCCGTTCGAAATTTTGTTCAAGCGCAAGCCACGGATCGATTCTATGCGGGTGTTTGGTAGTCTATGCTACGCGCACGTGGCCAAGGCAAAGAGAGCCAAGTTAGACGACTCAGGTGTGCGCTGTTTGCTACTCGGCTACTCTAAACAGCACAAGACCTATCGACTTCTAAATGCAAGCACAGGGGATGTGGTGATATCTCGCAGCGCGACTTCCGCCGAGCATGCGATAGTAAAAGCAAGCAGAAACATCACACCCGATGTGATCGACTTTTGGATGACGAAGATTATGTACAAGAGCCTACAGACGCAGCAATGGATGATGAAATTCACACCCCAACACCCGGAAGTCCAAGTGTCACCCATGTCAAGACGGGACCGACCGAACGACCTTCTGGATCCGTCCCAACGCGACAATCGAGTACACCGGGGCGTGACGGTGAACCGGAGCCACATGTGCGTCCAGTGCGAAAGAAACAGGCGGTTACTCGCTACGAACAAGAGTTTCCAAACCTGCAGCGCGGTGTATTTAATCTCGATGACTATGAAGATGGCTACGACGCACAATACTGCCTTAGCGCAGATGATGACGGCTAGAGTGCGTCGACATACGATCAAGAGCTAAGAAGCAAGCACTTGAAAGACTGGATGCGTGCCAAGAAGAGCGAGATCAAGTCGCTCGTTCAGCACAAGATATGGACTCTTGTAGATATTCCTAGCGACAAGAGGTCGATCAGGTGAAGTGGATTTTTCGAATCAAGCGAGATCAATCCGGGGCGATTGTAAAGTTCAAGGCACGACTCGTGGCTAAGGGATTCACACAGCGTCCCGGCGTGGACTATTTCGACACTTTAGATCCCGTGGCTCGTAAAGAGTCGATCAATATCGCGTTATCGCTCGCGGCTGAAGAAAATTTGAAGATTAAAGATGTCGATGTTGACACTGCCTTCCTTTACGGTAAAGTTAAGGAAGAGATCTACATGCACCAGCCGGACGGATTTGTGGATGAGCGACACCGTGCGAATAGTGTCTGTTGCACAAAGTACTATACGGCACAAAGCAGGCAGCGCGCGAATGGAACAATCGTCTTAGCCACCACCTCGAAGGACAAGGCTTCAAGAAGGCAGCAGCTGATCCTTGTGTTTACCTACGCCGATCGAAGGGTGAATTTAGTCTCATGATCATTCACGTTGATGTCTTGATGGTTTTCATGCGGACGCAAAAACACATCGACGACATCAAGCGTGAACTCAAGACAGACTGTAGCATCAAGGGACGGACGAAGCTCGGTGAACTAAAGTACTGCCTTGGTATTGAACTGAAGCGTGAAATTAACAGCAAGACAATTCGGTTGAATCAACGTGGATACATCAAGCGTCTTGCAGAGAAGTATGGCATCGACAAATGCAAGGACGTGCACACGCCGACTAATGAAGGTTAGAAGCTTTC